TCAATTCTGACCCCATCTTGCATCTGAACTACCTCCCCTTTGACTTGACTTAGACAACATCTTCACCCTTGATATTTAGCACCTCAGCCATGCCTTCTGCCTCCATTTATGATTCCCCGTTTGGCCACTAAGCGGCTCCACCACTCGCCTTTTACTATTTATATACCTATTCTAGACACTTTGCGGCAATATGCTGTCAACCAAAACGTGACTATCGATGGACACTGCTTGGTGACTTATTCCCGCTCTGATACTAGCTATTGACGTGATGGGTATTGACCTGATGAATAGAAGTGGTGAAGACAAGTGTAAGTCCATTATAGCTAGAAATAGGGGAGTTTATAATAGGTAACGAATAAATTGCTGACCAACTAAATACATTCTTTGGTTCTTTGTTCACAAAAGATATACATAATATACCAGAAATGTTGGAGAACACAGGTTTAGCGAGAAACATGAACTGAAGGAAATCATTATTGCTGGGTGAACTTGATGGGATTGAAGGCTGATAAATCCACAGGTCCTAATAAGTACTCAGTGATGAAGATTAAGGAAGTGGACCTAGAAATTATGGATACATTTGTGGTATTCTTCCAAGATTCTTTAGACTCTGGAACAGTTCCTACAAATTAGAGGCTAGTTAATGTAACCCCTCGATTTAACAAGGGGGCAGAGAGAAAATAGGGCATTATAAACCAGTAAGCCTGATGACAGTAGTGGAGAAAATGCATTTAGTCCATTTTAAAATAATTAACAACTGAGCATTTGGAAAATGGTTGCAGGATTAGACAGTGTCAGCATGGATTTATGGAAGGGAAATTATGCTTGACAAATCTACTAGAATTCTTTGACGGTGTGACTATTAGAGTTGATCACGGGAACGAGTGAATGTAGTTAATTTGGACTTTCAGAAGACTTAGACAAAGGGCCACATAAGAGGCTAATCTGTAGAGATTAAAGCACATGGGATTGGGGTAGTATATTGGGATGGATAGAAATTGATTGTCAGACAGGGAACAAAAAATAGGAATGAAAAGGTCTTTTTCTGAATCACAGGCAGTGACAAATGGGGTGCCGCAGGGATCAGTGCGAGGATCCCAGCTATTCACAATATACGTTAATGATTTAGATGAGGGAATTAAATGCAATATGTCGGCCTCCAGATGAGACAAAGCAGGGTGGAAAGATGAGCTGTGAGAAGGTTGCAGAAATGCTTCAGTGAATTCGGACAAGCTGAGTTGTAGGTAAATACATGGCAGATGAAGTATACTCTGGGTAAATGTGAGGTTATCCTCTTTGATAGCAAAAACAGCAAGGCAGATTTCTGAAGAAGGGTCTAGGCTCGAAATGTCAGCCTTCCTGCTCCTCTGATGCTGCTTGGCCTGCTGTGTTCATCCAGCTCTACACCTTGTTATCTTTAAGGCAGATTATTATTTGAACAACTGTAAATCGAGAGAGAGCATGTGTAGCCAGACCTGGATGTCCTTTGTAAACATGCAGTAAAGAAGGCAAGAGGTATGTTGGCCTTCATAGCGAAAGGATTCGAGTACAGGAGCAGAGATGTCTTGCTGCAGTTAAACTTTGGTGAGAGTACACTGCTGGAGTATTGTATGCAGTTTTGGTCGCTTTATCTGAGGAAGGATGTTGTTGCTAACTAGGGAGTGCAGCAAAGATTTACCAGACTGTTTCCTGGGATTGTGAGAATGACTTATGAGGAGAGGAATATAGTCACTGGAGTTCGGAAGAATGAAGGGGGAAATCACAGAAACCGCTAGAATTCTAACAGGACTAGACAGGGTAGGTGCAGGAAGGGTGTTCGCAAACGTGAGGGGAGTCCAGAACCAGGGATCACAGTCTAAGGATATGAGCGAACTATTTAGGATTGAGATGAGAAATTTCTTGATTAATATGTGGTGAGCCTGTAGAATTCTCTACCACAGAAAGCAGTCAAGGCCAAAACATTACTGATTGAGAAGGAGTTAGATACAGCACTTGAGAATAGAGGGGATCAAAGAATATGGGGTAAAAGCAGGAACAGGCTTTTGAGTTGGATGATCAGCCATGATCATAATGAATGGCAGAGCAGGCTTGAAGGGCCAATGGCTAGTTTCTGCAGTTTAAGCTAACTAAGGTAACAAGTAAGACAATTTTATTGTTTCTCTGGAGAGTTCCAAATGATGATGTGTGAATATATTATAAATCTGCCAGCTTTAGGAATTTCTCTGAACTGGTCTGAAAGCTTTGGTGAACAAAGTATGATAACCATTCATAATTTATGTGGTACTGAAGGAGATTGGGATCCTGCAAAGATAGTTTGTGCAATTTAGTGTTAAACATTGCAGAGTGAATTGGTGCTGTATGTTAGTTAGGGGAGATAAATGCCTTGAAGCAGGAATGGTCTGTCACATAAAGGGGGGGGAATTGATGTATGAGGGAACTGTTCAGATTCCTAGGGGATTGGGTCCGGTTCTGGGGCAGAAGCTAGCTCTGTGGTTGAAGTGGAGCAGGAGACACAGTGCAGGTTTTAGATTCATGGGTGACTGGAACTTGTGCTGGGGCAGAAATACAGGAGTAGGCCATTCCACTCTCACAAATACTGAACAACTCCACCTTGCCATTCATTCATTACAGATCTATATCTTAACTCCATTTCTAAAGCTGTGTGCCAACTGTAAGGCTCATCAGGTATGATGAAATACTCGCCACTTCTCTGGCTGAGTCCAACCATGTCAATACTCGAGGTTTGGTGCTACCCTGGACAGGAACTTGCTAAATTAGTGATACTGTGGCTGCAGTTGGTATAGTGTACAGAATGTAGCGTAGTATCTCTCTGTTTCTGCTTAAATAGCACCTCCTTTCCGACACCTCTAGCACTAGATGAAGAGTGTCTGAGAATAGAATGGCAGCATAAATGGAAGGAAGCTGCCAAATCTTAAGTACATCACGAGCAGGCAGTAAGAGATCCAATGGGTCAGAGGGGAGATTTATGTCTAGATGCAGAGGGCAAGACCTGGATACTTGATGAGTACTTTCTACCGGTGTTTGTTTTTTAAGGAAGAAGATGCTATTAGTAGAAGTGGAGATGGTAGAGCTAATAGATGGTAAATTGATAGGCAGGATGTACTGCAAAGGCTGGATATGTTTGACATGGCTTTGCTGAGAGTGGGTAAGTCAGCTGGTCTGGGTGGCTTGCATCCCAGGTTTCTAAAGGAAGTGGGAGTGGTGATAGTGGAAGGGCTTGCCATAATTTTCCAATCTTCCTCAGATATGGGGGAAATGCCAAGGGAATGGGAAGGCGACAAATGTGGCATTCTTGTTCAAGAAAGGATGTGACAACATTCCTAACAGCTAAAGGCCAGCTGGTTTAACATCGGTGATGGCTTAAGGTTTCATTTAAAAAAAAACACTTGGATTGGTTTGTGTTAATGAACCAGAGTCATCGTGGACTGTGAAAGGCAGATCGTACTCGAATAACTATTTTTTTTTTGATTAAGTAACAAAGGTGTTGACGGGAAAGCTACAAGTGAGGCTTCCTTTTAAGTGTAAATCATGTCTTTCAATAAATTTGTCAAAAATGCCCTGTCTGGAAGCCAAGCACAAGGAGTGCTCACATTGTTTATATGGCTGGTTCTGTTTCTGCTCAATGATAACCCACAAGCTTTTGATGTAGTTGTGCAGAGCCCTTCATGGTCATGGAATCCTAGGAAATCTGTGGTACATGAAGAGATCATCGAGTCCATTGTATCTGCGCCGTCCTGATCTCAATGTCCTAAAGCACTTTTTAAAAGTTGTTCATCCAGGGGATGTGGGATCTGCTTGCTGGCCAGCATTTATTGCCCTTGAGAAGGTGGTGTTGAGCTGCATTCTTCAACCTCCACACTCCATTTGATGCACACAGACCACCATGATGTTAAGGAGAGAGTTACAGGATTTTGCTTCCATGATAGTGAAGGAACAGCAATTTGGTTCCAAGTCAGGATGGTGAGTAGCTTGAAGAGGAACCTGCAGATGATGGTGTTCCATGTATGTGCTGCTCTTGTCCTTCTCGATGGTAGAGGCCATTGGTTTGGAAGTTGCTGTCCAAGGAGCCAATGCAGTTCTCCTTAACAGGCAATGCAGTATTTTTCTAATGTCCCCACCATTGTAACAGAGGGAAACATGACAGGCAATTTGATAACAGCGAGGGTGCTCTAATATTGTGTATCCATGATTTATGTCTAGTTGAGGGATAAATATTGACAATGATACAGTGGAGGTGCCTTGCTTTTTGAATTGTGCCAAGGAATCCTTTGTGCCCATGTGAGAGGGCAAGCAGACCTTGGTTTAAAGTCTGCTCTGTGAGACTGCACTTGTGATAGTGCAGCGCTCCCTCAGTACTATGCTGAAGTGTAAGCTGTGTACAAGTCTTTGGAGCGGGCATTACAGAAAGACCATTTGGTTTGCCGTAACTATATACTCTCTTTGAAAGTGCTGTTCAATTTAATCCCATACTTCACCCTTTTCCCCAGATCCCTGCAATTTACTTCTTTGTAAGTCAATGTCCAGTTACCTTTTGAAAGTTGCTTTGGAATCTGAATTTTTCTTTCAGACAGTGTGTTCTAGATCTTCATGCTCTTCAAGCAGATCTGTCAGATCCAGGATGCATTTTTATAATACCAGTATGTAGTTAAACAGTGACACAGTCTGAGAATGATGAAACCAATCTCCATTCAGTGAACTAATGACACTAATCCTGCATGTACCACCACATGCATTCTGTCCTTAGAGAGGCAGTACCCTTAAAATGAGAGGCTCAATTATCAACTAACAAGCTCCTTAAAGTTATATGAAATGTCTGAATGAACAGAACAGTTTTCAAAGTGAAAGGCTTTTTCCAAATTTGACTGTTTTCCTCAAGAAATTATAATGCTTCATTCTTTAGTAAGTGGTTGGAATTAATCCTAATAGTAGTGTGAACATAACCTCTGTTTCCTCTGACTTATTTCTGCCGTATTTTTCAGTTTGAACTGACTGCTGTCAAGTTCTTCACAATGGGAAAAGAGAGGAAGTGTATTTTGTGTCACATCACTTACAACTCAAAAACGGTAAGTTCCATTCATTTTGTTTTATTCACACGTGGTACGTGGGCATCTCTGGCTGACCTCACTTAGTTGTCCTTGAGCGTGATAGTGTGCTGCCTCCTTGAATTGCTGCAGTCAAGTGCTGTGAGTTGACCCTTGGGGAGAGAATTCCAGGATTTTGACCCAGTGACACTGAAGGAACGGTGATGTATTTCCAAGTCAGGAGTGATTGGCTTGGAGGGGAACTTGCAGGTTCAGGTGTTCCCATGCATCTGCTGCCCTTGTCATTCCTAGATGAAAGTGGTTGTGGGTTTGGAAGGTGCTGTCTAAGGATCTTGAGTGGATTTCTGCAGTGCATCTTGTAGATAGTACACACTGCTGCTACTGAGCGTCAGTGGCGGAGGGAGTGGATGTTTGTGAATATAGAGCCGATCAAGAGGGCTACTTTGTCCTGGATGGTGTCAAGCTTCTTGATTTTGGAGCTGCACCCATCCAGGCAAGTGGGGATTATTCCATAACACTCCTGACCTATGCCTTGTAGATGATAGACAGGGTCTGGGGAGTCAGGAGGTGAGTTACTTGCTGTACTATTCCCAGTTTCTGACCTGCTCTTGTATGTTTACATGATGAAACCAGTTGAATTTCTGGTCAATGGTAACTCCTAGGATGTTGACAGTGGGGCATTCAGTGATGGTAACACCATTGAATGTCAAGGGGCAATGGTTAGATTGTGTCTCATTGGAGATGGTCCAGTATCTGAGAAGTCGTGAATGGTACTGAACATTGTGCGATCATTGGCAAACATGCCCACTTCTGACCTTATGATGGAGGGATGGATTGATGAAGCAGCTGAGATGATTAACCCCCAACAACCACAACCGTCTTCCTATGTGCCAGGTACGACTCCAACCAGTGGAGAGTTTGCCCCTGATACCCAGTTTTGTTAGAGCTCCTTGATGCCACACTCAGTCAAATGCAGCCTGTCAATCTCACCTCACCTCTGGAATTCAGCTCTTCTGTCTGTGTTTGAGCCAAGGCTGTAATGAGGTCAGGAGCTGAGTGGCCCTGGTGGAACCCAAACTGGGTGTCGCTGAGCAGGTGCTTCTTGCTAGCATGGGTGACACTTTCCGGGAGTAGGCTAATGAGGTGCTGACTGGCTTGGTTGGACTTTTCCAGCTTTTTGTGTACAGGAAATACCTGGGCAATTTTCCGCATTGTTGGGTAAATGCCAGTGTTATAACTTACTGGAACAGCTTGGCTAGGGGAGCGGCAATTTCTAGAGCACAAGTCTTCAGTACTATTGCTAAAATGTTGTCAGGGCCTGTAGCCTTTGCAATATCCAGTGCCTCCAACTGTTCCTTGATATCACATGGAGTGAATTGAATTTGCTGAAGACTGGTATCTGTAATGCTGGGGACCATTGGAGGAGGCAGAGGCGAATCATCTGTTTGGCACTTCAGCCTTATCTTTTACACTGGGCCCTTCCATTATTGAGGATGGATATATTTGTGGAGCCTCCTGCAATATGTTGTTTTAATTGTCCACCACCATTCATGACTTAGCTGTGCCTGTCACTTGCTGCTTATGCTGTTTGGAGTGCAAGCAGTCCTATTTGGTAGCTTCATTTTTAGGTATGTCTGGTGCTGCTCCTGAAGTTCATCTTTTGCCAGGCACTCCTGCTTGTCAATAGTAGAACCATCACAACTGCTAGTTTACCTCAGTTAGTTTTAGTTCGGACATAGTCCGAACAGAGGGTCAGTGGAAGCAGCTCTGAAATGACACAAATAGTTAGACCAAGTACATAAATGGACAGAATACTGCCAGATGGGATTTAATGTACATCAAAAATAAAATTTGCACTTCAAACTTTAAAGCGTCCAATATATCCAACTAATACAGAGTATCAATCAAAGAGCATTGGGAAGTTGGCATTGCAAGTCAGAGCAGTACAATGCAAGTCGTAGGAAATTGTGAGGAACCTGTTTTAATCAGCCTGTGACTTGTTCAAGTGTGAGAGAGAATTTGGCGAAGAGCCATGGAGCTGATTTCTGGTCTAGGGTCTGGATTGTGAGTAGAGAATAGAGTTGCTTGATTGTTTTTGCAAACCTGAAAGAAAAGGTAATCTTAGAGAAGAGATATGGAAGACAATAAATGATATAGAAAGCGTACGTCTGGAAAATACTTAAACCAAACTGAGTGGATTAATGTTCGGGCAGCCATAATAGCTCCAAGCCTAGAATGCCACAGTTACAGACATCTGTTCCTCGGAGAAGCTAATTTTCCCAAAACATGTTACCAGCTATTGAAATTTAAAATGTTCGAGTCAAATTAATGAAAGGGGAATTTAACTCAGAAATTCTGACTTATTAATATCAGAAAGAAGTGAAGATAAAAGCTCAAATCATTCACAAAATTAAAGTTAAATGATGGGGAATGTATGGTTTTGAAGTGGAAGAGCTTTAAAGGTTTGGCGCGTGTCTGTGTGTGTGTTTTGTGATGTCCTGCCGTTATGTGGGAAGCATGCTTCCAAATTGCCAACTGAAATGCTGGTCTATGAGCAGTGCACAAGTAGCAATTGCTGCCGGAAATATTCAGAATTAGATTGCAGTATTTCAGGAAGAGGGCTTACCACTACCGTCTGAATGGCAATTTGATATGGGCAATAGATGTTGACGACACTCTGATCATGAGAATTAACATTAAAAGCAAAATATGGTGGATGTGAGCCTGATTGGGCAGACTATTTTTGTCCTTTGTGCTCTTGCTTCCTATGTTTTCCTTTTATATCTCCCCTCCCAAAATTGCTGAATACAGGTTGATGGGAATTGCACAGGCTTCATCTAGCTGCCTATTCTTCATTTGGGACCATAGACCTTGAATATCAGGATATTGACTGTGCAGAAGTTTGGGTCTCAGAGCTAATTGTCTCAGCACTATCCAGTGAGTAGTAGTGGATAATGAGAAGAAGGCCAGAAGTTATTGCTGAAATCTTTCCCTTCCTCCTATCCTAGCCAAGGTGTTACGTGCCCAATTGTAGTGACCTTACCCGAGAGTCAAGGCCAGGGCATCCTAGTGTGAGAGAGTTTCACTTGGGTAATCGAAAGAAATGCAAAAACAACTTCTTCCAACAGTGGCATGGTTCATAATTGATTAACAAATCGTGAAAGGACAGTAGAAATGAAACAGAAAGTGTTTTTTTACAGGAGATGGACGAACACATAAAGAGCATGCTGCACCACAGGGAGCTCGAGAATTTGAAAGGAAGGTAAGAATTACAGCTCTTTGTGTTAACCCCTTTGCATTATGATCCACAGAATAGGTCAAGCCTTGGATAGTGTGGAAAATGGGAGAAGAAGTGCAAGTTACTTTGAGGCAACAGAGGGAGATGTGTTTAGCAGTATAGGATACCAGAGAATTACTAGAATGCTTCAATAGGTACTCAGTGTCTATTGTGTCCTCAACCATAGCTGAGTGCTATCTCACTCTCTCTGAGCTGGAAGGATTTGACTTATCATTCCAGAGACTACAGTATGTTATTTGAGGAAATCAGTGTTGGAGATGCCATGTTTGACCTAGCTTCCTTGCCTTGTTCAGTCAGCCTCAGGCAAATGCAGTAGAAGGAGATGGAATTGATGATGAGCAGGAATGAGAGAAGGGCTATATAATCTATTTCTCAAGTGATCACTATTGTTCAAGATACTGAAGAGCAGTCTATTGCTATGCTTCGATGCTGATACAGAAGCTATTTCATCATTTGAGAGGGCCAGTGGTATCTCAGTTTCATTAATCCCATTCCTCTATCAATCCTTTATTTCAGTTTTTGTTTACTTCCCTTTAGAATGTTGTTTTGAAGCTGCTTTCACTGCATTTTCAGGTAGTAAAACTTTAGTCCTGTCTCTTCAGTTTAGTTTGGCCGTAAACTCAAGATGTCTCATTTGAATGCAACAGTGGCTTAATTAAGAACTGAAGTATCAGCTAATTTTATGGACTTGAATTCCTGGATTGGGGCTCAAACTCTATCTTTCTACAAGTGAGAGTGCTACCAACTGAGCTGCAGCAGATTGGTGATGATTGCAATTCTAGCATAGGTACCATGGGCTTTAATAGTTGTTCTTCGATACAAATCCTATGGTTCCATTAGCTGCGGTGACTGCACATATGTGAGACCCTTTTGTCACTTGGTTTGCCAGTGTTACCCCTCCTCTCCACTTACTGTGGTATGTTCCCATGGCTTTCTGGCTCTCTTCCCAAAGTTACCAATAATGAAGAAGTCCAGACAATGAATATTACCAAGATATTCAACTGTCTGGGACATCAGGGCCATACCTGGTCCCTGTCATCATGTGCTGTTTGTACAAGCATAGATGATAAGTGGGCAGGAGCCCTGGTGATTTTTCTTTCCCTAACCCAAGGGTCAGTTGTGAGGGCCTTCACTGAGAATAGATGGTGCCACAAAGAGCAGCAATTAAACTTGGGTCCTTCTGGTCTATAGCATGCTAAGCTAGAATAATACCTATTGGGGTATGAAGGGAGCTGGAGTCAAAGGGCTCATGGAAATGGAATTAAAGGCGAGTTCAGCAGTGAAGGGAGCTGCCATAATGAACTTGGCTTTTCTAGGAGAACATCTCACAATTATGGAGGGAGTATATCACCATGGATGCAGAATTGGCTCATGAGCAGGAAACTGAAAGTGGAGATGAAGGGTCCTTTTTCAGTTTGCCTACCTGTAACCAGTGGTGTTCCACAGGGGTCAGTGCTTGGACCGCAACTGTTTACAATATATATTAACGACTTAGAGGAAGGAAGTGAATGTACTGCAGCCAAATTTGCAGATGAGACAAAAATAGGCGGAAAGGCAGATTGCGAAATGGATACAAACAGTTGACAGAGAAATATTCATAGTCATACAGCATGGAAACAGACCCTTAGGTCCAACTCTCCCGCGCTGACCAGGCATCCCAATCTGACCTTGTCCCATTTGTCAGCATTTGGCCCATATTCCTCTAAAACCTTCCTATTCATATACCCATCCAGATGCTTTTTAAATGTTGTAATTGTACCAGCCTCCACCACTTTATCTGGCAGCTCATTCCACACACACACCACACTCTGTGAAAAAGTTACCTCTCAGGTTCTTTTTAACATCTTTCCCCTCTCACCTTAAACCTATGTTCCCTAGTTGTGGACTCTCCCACCCTATGAAAAAGACCTTGGCTATTCACCTTATTCATACCCCTCGTGATTTTATAAACCTCCATAAGATCATCCCTCAGCCTCCGATGCTCCATGGAGAAAAACCCCAGGCTGTTCAGCATCTCCCTATAACTGAAGCCCTCCAGTCCCAGCAACATCCTTGTAAATCTTTTCTGCACCCTCTCAAGTTTAACAGCATCCTTCTTATAGATGAGCGACTAGAGTTGGCCTCACCAATGTCCTATACAGCCGCAACATGCCATCCCAACTCTTACCTCAATGTTCTGACCAATGAAGGTGTACCAAAATGCTTTCTTCACCACCATGTGTACCTGCAGTTCCACTTTCAAGGAACTATACACCTCCACCCCTAGCTTTCTTTAGTCAGAAAAATTTCCCAGTGCCCTACCATTAACTGTATAAGTCCTGCCCTGTTTTGCCTTGCCAACATGCAATGGTTAAGCAAGTGAGCGGGAAAAAAGTTGGCGAATGAAGTATCATGTAGGAAAATGTAAAATTGTTCATTTTGGAAGGACAAAACAAAAGAACAGTATTATTCAAATGGAGAAAAACTGCAGAAAGCTGTAGCATAAAGGGACTTGGGGGAACTTGTGGATGAAACATGGAAAGCTAGCACGGGGGCAGCAGGTAATCAGGAAGGCTGATGAATTGTTGGCTCTTTTTCAAGGGGGTTGGAGTATATAAGAGTAGGGGAGTCACTGGAAATGTACAAGGTGCTTGTGAGACCACATCTGGAACACTGTGAGCAGTTTTGGTTCCCTTACTTAAAGAAAGAGGCATTTTAAAGAAGGTTCACAAGAATGAACCATAGTATAGAGGGTAAAGAGTTAGATGAACACAGCAGGCCAAGCAGCATCAGAGGAGCAGGAAAGCTGACGTTTCAGGACTGGACCCTTCTTCTGAAGAAGGGTCCAGACCCAAAACGTCAGCTTTCCTACTCCTCTGAAGCTGCTTGGCCTGCTGTGTTCATCCAGCTCTACACCTTGTTATCTCAGATTCTCCAGCATTGGCAGTTCCTACTATCTCAGAGTATAGAGGGATTGTCTTTTAAACAAAGGTTAAACAGGTTGGGACTCTACACTTTGAATTCTTAAGGAACTTGAAAGTATAAATGCTGAGAGGATATTTCCCTCAAGGGAGAGTCTAGGAATAAAGGAGCACCATATTAAGACTCCAATGAGTAGGAATTTATTTCCTTAGAGGATTGTGAATATTTGGAATTCCTTGCCACAGAGAGCTGTGGGGGCAGAGTCCTTGTGTCGATTTAAGGCTGAGATAGATTCTTGATCATTAGAGGAATCAAGGGTTACGGGTAAGATGCAGAAAAGCAGACTTGAGGATTGTCAGATCAGCTGTGATCCCATTGAATGGTGGAGGAGGCTCGAGGGGTGGAATGCCCTACTCCTTTCCTATTTCCGATGGTTTTTTCTAGGTCTGGCACAGGAGGGAGAAGTAAGGCAGGGAGAGGCATAGCACAGATGATGGGATACGGGCTGCAGGAGACAGGTGGAAAAACTGTGGAGTAGGGCGATAAAACTAGCTGTGTGATATGGAAGTGTTTAGATTTTCCTACTCATCTGACCTGGCGGTCGCAAACCCCAAGCACAGTGCCCTTGGTGGAGGGATATAATTTCTCCCTAAGGCAGCAAAAGCGTGCTGTTCTAAGGAAGGAAACACAGAGGGTGTAGCAGATGTGGACAACAACTGTCATGCTTGGTGTCAAGTCGCACCAGCAAAAGAAAATGAAGCCTTTGGTGTCTCCAAATAAAGCAGTGTTTCATACAGCACATCCTGGCAGCTGTCATAACGCACGCCCTCTCAGGATTCCAGGCATCTCTGCTAAGCTGGGGCAGGCTGTAGTTACAGGCCTACCATTGGTGGCAGCTCCCCGGGGTTGGAATTAGCTGCGGCACAATTAAATAAGGAAACTGTTGCTAGGGCTGCCTCTCAGCAGCTGACCTGATGTTATCTGCCAGGACTGCCTCCCAAGCACGTGATTGAAGATCTGGTGACTTTCACTCTTCCTGCTCTCAGTCGGGGGAGTGCAGTGACCTCGGTGCAGGAGGAGGCAGCAGAGGCATGGCCTGCCGCCGCTGTTGAAAAGAAATGTTAAGTTAAAGGAGCCGGGGGATGGTGAAACCAACCCCCTGATCCCCTGCACCTCTCTCCCCCCACCCCCAAGAACCTGCACCCCTGTACCCCATGCTGTAAGACTCCAGCTTGTTCCACGATGCCTGTTGGTACAGTTCAGTCTCCATCGTCTCCCTCTTTCGACAGGGACTGCAAACACGAATGCCGAATCTGCAAGGTAACTGTGGTGGGCCTCTCGGCCTACGCCAAGCACATTTCCAGCCAGCTCCATAAAGAGAAAGTGGACGCCCAGGAGAGGGAAGAGAACCAGAGAGATGATGGCAAAGATGAGGAATATTTCGATAAGGAGCTTGTTCAACTGATCCGGCAGCGAAAAGAAGAAAAAGGGTAAGCCTGCTGAAAAAAAACTAAGGGTAAATAGCTGAGGGTGGGATTGTCAGTTGGAAAGGGGTCTTGATGACTGGTATTAAGTTGCAGGGAAAGAAGTGGCTGACTGTTCAACCTCTTTTGGGATTCCTGAGACTATTTTAAGGACTGTTACTAAGTCAGTTTTGGTAAATAATCTGATGTTGCTTTCATTGTCATTGTTGCATATGTACTGATGCAGCAATAATTCGGGGCTGGCTTCGTCGGACCAGACGTGTAGCAGACTGTCTTCACTTGCCAATGGTTATGATTAATGCAGCAATAACGAAGATATAATTAACGTAACAAGCTGCCAGTTAAAGTGAAGACTTGTGGGCATGCATTCAGCAGTGCTGCCATTTGCTTTGGCTCAGTCTTGTTCCACTCCAGTGGGAGTGTTCCTTTTTAAACAGTGCTTTAAATGTCATGGCTGGGCCCACTGATGGTTCAACGTTGCGACTTGACCCGAGGAAAGCTTTTGAAATGTCTCCTGTATGCTTTCTTTAAATTGTTTAGCAAAAAGTTACAAGCAACAATCACTAGAAGCAAGAGACCAAAACAGAACGGCAGCACTCCTGCTGACATCATAATCTTGTTGAGACTGGGGAAATTGGATCCTGGTCATAGCACATTCTCGGAGGGCACAGTCCAAATTCAGCTCATCAATTCAGGCTTCTGGCAGAGGCCGAAACCTTGGGAATTTTATTTCAGTATGTCTTGAATATTAGAAATTTCACTCTGGATGACAATGGTAGGTAGTCTTCCTCAAAAAAAAAGTTTTTAGGGCTTTGATCAAGGAGCAGAATCAGACCATTTGACCCCTCAGACATTTGTCATTTAGTAATATTGTGGCTAATGTGATTGTAACCTTGACTCCACATTCCCACATACTTCTCCTTTCACTAGCCCCTCCCCCCCAGCTTGCCAAGACCACCTCTCCCTAAAATAGGTAGAGTACCCTATAGAGTAGTGATGAGGGGCATTTCTAAGCTTCATCTCTACTGAAATGAGACAGCGTGCTGTTGTTGTCAGCAAACCAAGATTCACGTTCATCTAATGAAAGGCTAAAGGGGGATACCAGGGTAAAGCATAAATATGTGGAGCTTGTATGAGGAAAGCCTATTGCTGGTGATTTCATATTGTTATTGAAATTCAGTCCTTTGAGGAGGAGGGGTACATATGTTTTTACAAAGAATGTCATGTCTGTATTCCATCAGGGAATTTACATCATTTAATGCAGCTGATATAAGCTACTTTGACTTACCTAGGAGCATGAGTCTGATCATTCAGACAGAGAGTTCACAAGGCAAGCCAGTGCACTTGTAAGAATTCAGCAGAGGGTTTTGTTGTTATAGTTCAATGGGCGTAGAGTTATATGTCTAGCTATTCGTTTGTGAAGGTAATCTACAGTTTTAGGGAAATCTGAAGCAGAGAAAAAAACTAGGTTAAGAACAGGAACAACACAGAATTATGCAGCACAGTTAGTGTAATAAAATGTGTCCTACGTGCTTCACAGTGTAAAATTTTGTTTAATAATACATCTGAGCCACAAGGTATCCATACAGGTTATCAAAAGTTTAGTAAAAGGATCACTTTCAAGGCAGAGAGAACAGTGGAGTGGCTGAAGGATGGAATTTCAGAGCTTTAAGACATGGTTAGCTGAAGGCAACCCACTATGGTTGAACAATGAAGATGTAGGATATGTGAGAATCCAAGAGGGAGCATGTAGGAGGTTAGAGATGAGGAGAGATAAGGGATTTGACAGTGAGGATGATTTTACAATTGAAGTACTCCCAGACTGAGCACAGAGGTGACAGATGAGTGGGATTTACTGAGAGGATATGAGCAGCAGACTTTTGGGTGATCAAGTTTATCAGGGACCAAAGTGGAAAGTCATAGATTCATACAGCCCTTTGTGCCATCGAGTCTGCCCTGAGACATAACTACCACTAAAAGTGCACTAATCCTAATTTCCTGCATTTATCCCATATCCTTGAATGTTGTGATATTTGGGCTACTCTGAATCTCCTGTCCCTTACTCTAAAACTGTGCCCTCTCATAATTGACCCTTCAACTGAGGGGAACAGCTGCTGTCTATTCACCTTGTCCGTAGCCCTCATAATCTTATACACCTCAATCATGTCCCCCCAAGTCTTCTGTGCTCTAAAGAAAACAATCCAAGCCTGTCCAGTCTCTCTCTTTATAGCTCAATTTCTCCATCCCGGGCAACATCCTGGTGAACTACTTCTGTACCCGCTCTGGTGTTATCACATCCTTCTTGTAGTGAGGTGACCAGAACTGGATGGAGTACTCCAGTTGTAGCTTGACCAGTGCTGTGTACAACTCCAACATCACCTCCCTGCTGTTCTACTTTATGTCACAACCGATGAAAGCAAGTGTCCCATAAGTTGTCTTAGCTATTCTATTCACATACCCTGCCGAATTCAGGGATCTGTGATTAATTACCACAAGATCCCTTTGTTCTTCTAAGCTGCCCATTGTCCTGCCATTCATTAAATATTCCCTCATCTTCTTATTACTTCTTTCAAAGTTCATCACCTTGAGCTTATCAGAGTTAAATACCATATACCACTGGTCTGCCCATCTAATCAACCCATCTATATCTTACTGTAACATACAACTCTCTTCTTCACTATTAACCACTTCACCAATCTTGGTGTCATCTGCAAATTTGTTTAACAATCTCCCTACATTTTCATCTATATCATTTATGCATATAACAACAATGGTTCCAGTACTGATCCTTGTGGTACACCGCTGGATACCAGCCTCCAGTAACTCAAACAACCTTCTACCACTAATCTATTACTAAGCCAGTTTCTGATCCGTCTCGCCAAATTTCCCTCAATTCCACGTGCTTTAACCAGACGAGAACATTGCTGTTGTCAAAACTAGAGGTAACAATGGCATGGAGGAGGATTTTGAGAGCAGATGAACTGAAGCCTGGCGAATACAGGAATTATTTTAAAATTGGGAGCAAGCAATCTTAGTGATGGAGCAGGTGTGGGGTTCCAAGCTCAGCTCGGGTTCGGCCTTGAATACCTACCAGAGTGAGGCATAGAGTTGGTGTTTAGGGGGCAGAGGGCAGGGACTGACATCTATGGCTTTTGTTTTCCCAATACTCAGTTGGAGATATCTCCTCATCTAACAGTGGACACCAAGCATGTCACATGACAAATCGGAGATAGTACAAGGATGGACTGAAGCGGTGAAGGTACAGCTTGGGTGTCTTTGGTGCATTTGTGGAAGCTAATGCGGAATGAACATGAAGGCTAAATGGCCTATTCTTGTTTGTATGATTTCAGTGAGAAATAGAGAGGGGCAAGGGTTGATCTAATAGTTGTGGATTCTTTTACGAGAAGTAAGTTTGTTTATACTGGTTAGTGAATCAGTAAGAGGGGACATTCTGATCCACATTGAAATAAATATCCTAAAAGAAGCAGACTTCTCCAACAATAGAAACCAATGAATGAGGTTCACATCTTTGAACAATTTTTTTTTCCTGATGGTCTGTCATGTTTACATTTCACTCAACCTCCTCATTCTCTTACAAAGCATATTCCTCCAATTTGCGCCATTAGACTTAAGTACTGTTGCTATCTGCTTTGCCACGTTTATGATTTGGAGATGCCGGTGTTGGACTGGAATAAACAAGGTCAGAAGTCACACGACACATGTTATAGTCCAGCAGGTTTTTGTTTGAAGTCACAAGCTTTTGTAGCGCTGCTCCTTCGTCACTTCAGCTGTCAAAGGAGCAGCGCTCCAAAAGCTTGCGATTTCAAATAAACCTATTGGATTATAACCTGATGTTGTGTGACCTTTGCTACATTTAACTCATGCTTTTCCTGCATTTTTTTTTTTGTTCAAGCTATTTACAAGTTTCTGAATGTTATTAACGTCTCTTTATCTTGATAATTTTTAAGTGTAATTTTTAAATTAGCAGGCAGATTCAAAAGAAAGCAAAATATTGTGGGTGCTAGAGTGCTGGAGAAACTCAGCCGGTCTGGCAGCATTTGTTTCAAGTCTGTTCGGAAGAAGTTGTCACAAGAAAGTATCATTGGACTCGATGCATTAATTCTGTTTCTTTCTCCATGGATGCTGCCTGACCTGCTGAGTTTTTCCAGTACTTTCTGTTTTTATATTAGAGTTTCTAACTCTTCAGGCCCATCTTTGTTGGAGATATCATTATTAGCAGCAGATTCACAACGTTCTCTCCAGTCACTCAGCTTTTCCTGTCAAACCTTAGTTTCGGCAGACTTGCTAGGCTTTCCTGAGATCGTTGGCGATTTAACACTTTATTTTCAGCTGCTTCCCAGGGCTCCACACCAATATTCCCTCTAATTTTGTTGCTCAGTACGTGGCCTCAACTTCTAAAATCGGAAGTCAATGTGTCAGCAAACGGAACCTTGGACTCACAGCTTAGAGGGAATGTTGATCCACATCTTCAGTGGGCAAATGAGGAATGACAAGCAGTAACAGGACCAGTGACTAGGTCATGGTTTAACTTAGGCTACATTGTGACTAACACCACTGCTAAATGGAGTAATGTGATCGAGATTGGAGAGTAACTTCTTAAACTCCACCACCTCCCCCCCGCCACACCACAGCAAAGCACCGTGTATTGCAAATCCATGTAAATGATAAAATACAGGTATACTTGGCAGAAGCCCTTGGGTGTAGCTTTTCAAGTACTGACTGTTTTTGGAATTTTATGCAGATGTTTTTCCCTGTATTTTAATTGCATGTGACTGTCATTTTCCAGCTGTGACTTTTTTTTTTACAAGGCTGTTCCTTTTATCATTTGTTAACCCAATCGCAGCAAATTTGATTAGGCTCTAATCCAGTTGAGTTTTCTGGGAGAAGCCTGAAATGGTGCATCAAAAGGAATGGCTGATGTCAAGGGTACAACAAACAGTGTGTGCACAGATGGATCAAGGTGGCAATCTTAAATGGCAGTGTCCAATCTCTGCCTTAAATTAAGCCTCTACAATGGGCAGTTTAATATCCTGAATCAATATCTTTGCATTCAGTGAACTATCTGCAGGGGAATGCATATCATCAGCCATTGGTGGCTCTGCCACCCCTGTATCTCTAAGGATATCAATCAGCTTGCCTCTCTTACTAGACAACTTTACCATTAAAGAGAAAATGCCTATAAATTTCTGTAACCCAGACTATTAATAAACACATGAGAAGGTACCTATTTATCATGAGCTTTACTCATTAGAAAATATTTTCTAGGCAGGGACATTGTGCAACAGTACAAATATTACAGTTTGTTCTTCTTCCAACATTCAGCCTTCATATGTAGCTATTTTATGCCAAAAATAACATGTTATCCCCCTCAAACCCAACTTGTACTGTGGGCTGTTTTTTTTTAACTAATCTGAAGAAGGTCTAATTTTGTTGCATCTCCTGTAGAGACCACTAAAGTCCTGCAAAACTTCCCATTTGATCCAACGGCAGAAACCATTAGTCAAGATTTAGATTTTTAAACTTTAACTCAGTCAAACCAAAATAAATGCAAATGAATTGGCAAATTGTATTCTGTAGGAACTGTACAATTACACTTTTAATAGAAATACAATAACAATAGATAAATCTCTCAAATTTCTCAAGCAGTCCACTGGCATATATGGCAATCATCTTAGCCAGAAAGTGTCTGAAACCTCTCTTCTTCCCAGGTAGAGTTTTGTTTACTTGCGTGGAAATTAGGCCTGCAATCCCAGCTGACAACAAATTTATTACTCCCACATTCCATGGATAGAATGTCTGTCACAAGGTGCATATTTTGGGATCTTTCTCAACTCTGCTCCCAGAATCAACTGTTTTGGATGTCTTCCAGCTGTCGCAACTATCCACCTTGGGTGTTTTATAGTCAGTTTCTCTATCACTACCAAACTGTCCACCCTGTGCTTAAAAACATTAACTCTGAATCTTGCCTTTTCTGTCCATTGGGTAAAATTTGACCATGCTTCCATTTCCATAGGCAGTATGAGCCACAGTCTGATTTCTTAGCCATCATGGCCGGGATTTCCAATTTTCAACTCCCTCTCACAGAAACTGGGAGCTGTAGTTTCTGTTTCAGCAAGTGACTCTCACAAAGATAGACACAATGTTTGAAACTGCAGTAAATGCAAACAACTGCTGAAAAACTGCAAATTACCTTCAGGCTTAGACAGGAACAGCTATGCACACTGTCACAGTGTGCTTCACCGTGTTACACTTACCACAGAATGATAACATTTTGAAAGAGATGAGCTTTAATAATGACAACAGAAGGACTGAATGACAATATTTCATTTTTTCAAGTTTACACAGTAACAAAGAGATTAAAAACAACATAGACCAAACATTAATTAAAAGGCAAATAATACGCAAATCATAATAATATAAAAGGTTAAGTTTTGCATCCAACAACACAACCAAAATATATCTTGTATGCTTTTACCCTACATCGAGCTTCTGGCAGAGATGTTGTAATAAAGGATAATTGGCTATTAGCAAGGATCATCCCTCTCTGCTACACTGAATCCAATCCCCTAGTGTCCTGTGACATGCATTCCCCTCCACTTGTGTTTTCATGGAGCCAAAAAACAACAGCAAAGCACTTCAATGAATTCTTCTCTCTCTTGGGCCACAGTTGATGATTCGGAATTGCAGAGGAACCTTATCGGACTCCTTTGTAAGGTTTTGTCATAGAGTCACAGAGTCACGCAGCACAAAAACAAACCCTTTGATTTGCTGACCAAAATCCCAAACTAAACTGTCCCACCTGTCTGCCTTCCAAACATATCGTATTCATGAACTTATCCAAATGTCTTTTAAACATTGTAACTGTACCCATATCCACTACTTCCTCTGGAAGTTTGTTTCACAGATGAACTACTCTGTGTATGAAAAAAAGTTGTCCCTCATGTCTGTTTTAAATCTTTCTCCTCTCACCTTAAAAATATGCCCCCTAGTCTTGATATCGCCAACCCTAGGGAAAGGGCCACCTGTCTTTCACCTTATCTATACCACTCATTATTCTATAAACCTCAATAAGGTCACCCCTCAGCCTCCTATGGTCCAGTGGGAAAAGTCCCAGCCTATCCAGTCTCTCCTTATAATTCAAACCCTCCATTCCCGGCAACATCCTGGTAAATCTTTTTCTGAGTCTCCTCTAGCTTAATAATATCCTCCGTATAGCAAGGCAACTAAAACTGAACACAGTACTCCAGAAGAGACCTCACCAACATCCTGTACAACTCTCAACATGGCGTCCTAACTCCTATACTCAGAAGGCCTGAGCAATAAAGGCCAGCGTGCTAAACTCCTTCTTTACAGCCTTGTCTACATACAAACTCTGAAGCACTATGTACTTGAACCCCTAGGTCTCTCTGTTCTACAACACTACCAAGGGCCCTAGTTTGATTGAATAAGCCGTGCCCTTGTTTGTTTTACCAAAATGCAATGTCTCGCATTTATTCAAACTAAATTCAACTCCTCAGCCTATTGACCCAATTGATCAAGATCTCTTTGTAATCTTAGATATACTTCTTCACCATCCACTACACCACCAGTTGTCAGTTCAAGTAAAACTTCTCTACATTGAGAAGTTACTTCTGCTGTCCACTGTTTTGAAAAGAACGACAAAGACTTGCCGGACAGAGATTTCCAACTCTTCTGCCTATGTCTCGTTAGTGCCTGTGCTCTGTTCTGTGGGATACTATGAAAGGTATTAAAACTGGCATTCCATCTCAATGAATTCTTACTTGAGTAAAAGTAACTCATGGGTATTTCTCCAAACTGAGGTGTTTATCAGGAATGAAAAGTACATGTTTCTTTCCACAATTCTCTGATATGGTTTTGAGTTGAAGTTATAAAACATAATCATCTCGCAAATTTCAGTGTTTCAGGTCAATAGAGAAATAGTAAGTAGAGTAGAACATATGACCGTAGGAGAGGCTGAAGGTTTAGACAAAAAGAAGGGCTCTTAGTGTTTTAAAGAAAAGGGTGTAGTGGCAGGAAAGTGTGTTTGCAGAGCAAGTGCTAACTCTGTCACCAGTGGTCAGATGCAGGGCATTAGGGAATGGTGAACAGGAGGCCACAGTCAGGATGAAAGTCAAGGACAGGAAATCTAACTGAAGATTAGAGTAGGTTTCAAGAGTTGACAATTGTTTTAACTTGTAGAGAATTTAGCACATGAAATGGTATACATTAATTATTGCTGAGCAGGAATTGTTATCATATTTAGGGGGGAATTAGAGCAGTATTTGGAAAGGAAAAATGCAATATGATAGAAAAGGGGCTGGAAATGGCTGAGTAGATAGCTCCAGTTGAAGAGCGGGTGAAGGAATGACCGGCTTAATGGTCTTTCTGCATGTTCTAAGCGCTATAATTCTGTCTGACTGCTTCCATTTTCTATTCATGCAGAAAGAATGATACTACAATACCGTGGAACAGAGCAACAGAAAATGATGACAGGCAGCACAGAAGGCCACGAGAAGATCGACAGGCGTACCCAGAATCCATGAGCAAATATAATCCGTCACCATGGCATCATGAGAAAGGAGAGTGCAATTGGGACTGGGAGTCACGGGATTATGGAAACTCCAGATCGAGCAGTTTTCAATATTGCCATTGGAAGACCAATCCAGGGGCTCCTTCGAACTGGCACTCATCAAGGGGATCTTATAATTGGCACTCGAATGGTTCAGGAGGCGCACCGCAGTGGTATTCCAAATACAACTGGCATCCCAATGGATCAGGTGGAGTGTCTGGCTGGCACCCCCAAAGCCAGAGTGGAGCACCCAACTGGAACACCAATGCCAGCAGCAAAGGGGACAGTCCATCTCAGTACATGACCAGTCGTCCGAACCCGAGATTCCAGCCTTGCGTTTTAAACAACAAGGGGAAATTGCATAAGCTGAACAAAAAAGAGACTAAAAGTACAAGAGATCGGCATGCCTGGGAGAAAACACAAAGCTGGAGGCGGGCAGCTGACGGCAGAGGAGCAGCGTTGGCGCAGAGGGACTGTGGCGACAGGTGGAACCTGGGTGATTACACCTTCCAGGGCTACCATATGGATTTCACCAGAGATGATGTGCCAAGTGAAGGAATGCTGAGGTTTGACCAACAGGAGAACAATCTGAGTAAAGAAGATCAAAACGGGGGGAAATGCTTGAGCCCCTCAAGAGATAAGAGACATCGGTGGGCCCCTTATCGATCTCATAAATCTGCAGAGGTGCCTATGGCCGCCAGGGATCCCGGGACTAAGTGCAGAGGCAGCGACAATTCCGGGAAAGGTAGCGCATCGCAAAAACCGACAGAGCTGGAGAAACAACATGAGGGCAGCGCAGCCTCCGTCCCTGGGAAGACAAGTGGTGAACTGAGTGGCTGTAAGAGTTCTCTGAATCAGCGAGCAGGCACGTCTGAGAATGGAACCCAAGTAATAGACACAGAGGGCAGTCGGGTTCCTGTCACAATTCGCACCAAATCGTTTCCTCCTCCTGAATTCACACCCTGTGCTTCAAATTCGCATTCGAAAGAAAATAAATCTTCGTGTAGCACAGAGAGTGGGAAGTGCCTGAGCAAACCTGGTTTAGAAACACGGGGATGCTCTCTAGTCAGTAATGCCACACTACAGCCAAACAGCCCACTTAGTGCATCAGGAGCTCCACTTTCAACACGATCCAGCCCGAGCCTGACCATACAATCTTCACTGGATGTGCCAAACAGTGCCGGTAAATACCAGGTGGACAGCAGTTTGAGTGAGGAGCTCAGGCGTGCCAGAGAAGCTTTGAGGTGCAGTCAGACTGAGGCAATGAAGCACAGCCAGCGGGAAGCTTGTACGGAGTCCGCGGAGAGTAACTGGAAAAATAGCAACACTAAAACGGCTCGCAAGTCACCCCCAGCAGCGGCTACTGCAGATCCAATCAAGCCAGAAGCACAGTTGAGTGGTGAAGAAATTAGTGAAGAGGACTTTACTGACATCTCAGAAGAAATAAAGCAAACTATTTGTGTAGACCCAGCCAGCATTTGTTCAGGTCAGGAGCAACTAAGTTCCAATCCATTGAAACAGGATATGGCTATGTTATACTCTCAGAATGGTGATGGTGTGAATTGTGAACTTTCAGCTGCAAAAGGAGCGTGTAAGGCCACCTCAGCTGCAGAAACCAGTGTTCGCTCACCTACTACTTTATCCTTTGCAATGATTGAAACCAAAAGCGATAATGAGATTCAAAGCACTGCCTATGGCAAGACCAGCGATAATTGTTCTTCCGACTCGGAGCTGCAGAACGGAGGGTCTCAAAACTCCAACCATGTCCTCTCGGAGCTCAACAAACTCGGGCTTCCCACCTCACTACAGAGAGATCTGACCCGCCACATCAACGCAAAGTCAAGGCCTGGGACTCACGTCCCTGAACCCAACCTCAACATTGCCCGCAGAATTCGCAGCATCGGGAGCCAAAGAAAGAGTGAATCAGAAAAGGAATCAGGCTTAAAACCAACCTTGCGCCAGCTGTTGAACGTGTCGCGGCGTCACGTCAACTGGGATCAAGTCATTCAGCAGGTTGCAAAGAAGAAGCAGGAGCTTGGCAAGGGCTTGCCGAGGTCAGTACGGAAAAAATTTGTTTTCTTCTCCCCCTGTTTAGTTCTCGTAATCTGTCTGGTCTTTCAGTAACTCATGATCCTGTCTTGACCTCACACACTGTGATGTAGCTGGTCCATTAAGTTAAGTCAGGTCATTCTTAGCCACTACTCGGCAATTATGTGAAAGCATTCTCAGGTGCTCTGAAAGGCATTAAAAGTCTTGTCTTCTTGTAAACTCCCTGGTCGGGGTGGCTGGTGACTCAAGTATCATTTTACTGAAGACCATTCATCACAAGCGGGGTGTGGTTGAGTTCTGCTCCTTGATTCCCTGAGCGCAGTGAGATGCTCCTAGGGATGAGCTCGACCTCACGATCAAGTTAACCAAACTAGAATCTGGGAGCTCATTGCTTTGAGTAAAGGGGTACGCAAGAGAGAATTGGGTGGAGATGAAATGGTTCCTGAACGACCGGAACCTGGAGGGGCTTTGACACGATGTGGTAGGGCTTGGGAATTGATTTGGAGGGGGTGGGTTCTCCAGTAAAAGCTTAACAACACTCAGCAATCATTTGAACTTTGTGCCTGGATTTTCATCCCCCAGCTGTACTTGCCAGTCTGAAGGTCTCAAGGTGACTGGGCAGGTGCAGACTGCTTTTGAGTCTGGGTTGGGATCTCTCTCCCAATTTAGACATGCCTGCCTCTTCCTGAGCATTCACTTGCTTTTCCTTTGTCCCCCTCTCTCATATCATCTACATCCTCTGTCCCCTCCCCAACTCTTTCTTGTCCACTGTCCCTTTCCTCTTTTTCTGATGTCTTCCCCATCCCCTACCCAATATTGTTCCCAGATCTCTGAATATTTTCTTATTCCCATCTCACGTGAGGGCTGGGTGCCTGTGACTGTCCATGGTCATCCTGGTTTCGACTTCGCTGTTGGACTGTACCTAGGCACAGCTTGTGGGTTCATAATGTGGTTCTTTTTCCAGGTTTGGGATTGAGATGGTTCCCTCCATGCAAACTGGGCTGGAAGCCCTGGAGCTGGATGAGGATGAAAATCTATCCTCTCTGGAAGGTTTTCAATGGGAAGGGATCTCCATTGCTCCAAGTGGGACTATCCGGAAGCGCAGCCTCTCTGAAAGCAGCGTGGTCACGGATAGGAGGTCAATTTATAGCCTGTTTGGCGATGAGGTGAAAGACTCCGAGGGGCTCCGATCCAGTGAAAGTGCTGCCAATATTTCGAACGGCCAGCTACCTCCCGTGCCTCCGGAACCGAACTCGCTGGCCTCCCGGGAGAAACCGGCCACCTGCAACAGTCCTGCTTTCCCCAGTCCAGTCCGGTTCGGCGGCAGCAGCAGCGACAACCCTATGCCTGATACCAGCACGTCCACCCAGGGGCTTCCCTCCGTGAAGACCGAGCAGGCTTCAAACTCACGCCTTGAGTTTGAATGTGTTTCCACGACAAACAGTGGCCCAGGGAAGAAGTGCCCCAGCCCCACCAGCGATGGCCCCAGTGGGCAGAACACTGCTACAGCAGCCCAGAAGGCCAAGGTGTTTGCCCAGCAGAGCTCTTTAGCTGCAGTATCAGGACCTAATGCAGCAGAAGGGGCGACTGATAGCAGCTACACCTCTGGAGGGGAACTCAATGACGCTCAGACCCTGGGGAAGAAAAGAAGAGCGACAACTGTAAGTTTAATGCTACTCACTGCATTCGGTAGAATTACACAGAAGCAGGTTATTCAGCTGATCTACCCAGGAGTGGATAGTCCCCAAGAGCCGTCTGTTATTTCCTCAAATTCTTTTCTTTCAATGTACCTTCCTTTTTGAGTTTATGCCCTTCACCTCTACTCCATATGGTTGTAAATTCCACATTTTAATCACTCTCCGGGGGAAAAACGTTCCTCTTGAATTGATTTCATTGATGTAGAATCCCTACTGGATTTAATAATAGCAGGAAGATAAGCTCTCACTGGCTTCCCATTTTAGACATTTATTGCCTCACTGTTCCCACTCCCTTACACTAAGAACCTCACTTCATTTGGTGCATTCGCCCTGAGGAAAAGAGGTTTTTCAAAACCACTGTCCTCTACTTAGATTGTTATTTGACTAATACTTGGGGGCTTGAACTAATAATCCAGCAAATGCAATGTCAAATCCCACTCAGGATGTTTTTTAGAATCTGAATTTGATTCAATAGATAAAATCTGTAAATAAAAAACTAGTGTCGGTAATAGTGAGAATCAAACTGTTGATTTATCTTAAAAGTCCACCGCTTCACTAATGATCCTTCCTTTTTACTGAAGCTTTTTTAATCAATCTGTTCAGATAATTATTACACACCTCTGGAACAGGTGGGACTTGACCCTGGGCCTCCCGGATAGGGGGTATAGACAATACCGCTGCACCACAAGAGAGCCCTACTAACAATCCTTTAGGGGAGAAAAACAGTTGAACTTGCCTGGTCTGGCCTTTATATGACTCCAGCCTCTCACCAACGTGATTTGACCCTTTACTGCTGTTGGAAGTCATCGAACAAGCCACTGGCAATTCACGAAGGTCCCAAAGTCGCACCTTAAGGCAGCAAGGAAAGAGCAGTCAGTATGGAGCTAACCAGTGATACCTACATCTCACGAATGAATTTTTTTTAAAAAGAACTTTTTGCAACCAGTACCCCTCAACGTTTTCTGACCTGGATTGTTCTGAAGGTGTTTGTAGTTCTGCCCCTGTTGTGTGAATTCTTCATCTGGCAGCCCTAGATGGTGAGAGTTGGCACGTGTCCTCTTTAATTCTCGCACCCTTCCCGATAACAATCTCAGCAGCCCTGCCTAACCAGCGTTTACAGTCAGCTAGGCATCGAGGCTGAGGCTAAGATCAACTAATTCAACCGAGGGATCGTTATCGGACCCAGTCTTTCCAGTCTGTGAAGAATAAATAACGTTGACAATTGACGACATTAGCTATCAGGCCAGGCTGTACAGTGCAGAGCGTGATGAGAATGGAATTGATCTTAGCAGTGAAATGCATAGAACAATTAAGTGACTGTATTGATGTTTTCTGCTTGTGTAGGATGTTCTATCTCCAGAGGTCCCTTGTTTGGAAAGGAAAAATAAGAGAAGGAAACTCAAGAGCAAAAGAGGTAAGTGGTTCTATTCTAATTGCCCCAGTACACTCAAATCCTCACTGGTTTGGCCGAGCCTCTAACTTATTCCATTATGTATATTTTCTAATCAACCTGTTCAGAGATGCCTCTGGAGCAGGTAGGACTTGAACCCCAGTCTCCTGGCTCAGAGGTAGGGAAACTACCACTGCATCACAAGAAACCTCTTGTTTTGTGATGTCCTTGTGCTGAATTTTTCTCTTCTCTCAGTCTGAGCAGTTAATGGAGAGCTCCGTTCCAAGCTTTGCTGGACACTTCTGTTTAGTTCACAAGTGTAATGCTGAGTTAGCAATGACCTGCCTTTTTAATGCTCCACACTGCTCTGACCCCTCTGTGCCCAACCTCCTGCAGTAAAGCTCAACAGAAACTCGAGGAATTACCTTTGTCCTTCAATTAGGAGGTTTTACAGCTTTCTGGACTTAACACTGAGTTCATCAATTTCAGATCACAATGACTGCTCGCATTTCTATTAGTCACTGGTTTTATTGTTGCTGTTTAAGCCTACTCCATACTTACTGTTTCCATCCTCTTTATCCTTGTGCCATCGCCCTTTCGTTCTCGCTGTTCCACCCTAACAGAGGACTTCTCCTTTGTTCTTTGTGCACACCTTCTCTGCCTCGGATGTTTCTTAAAACCTGTCACATGTCTCCGTTTTGTCCAGATTCACCAAGGGGATTATAAACTTGAAATAAGAATACGTTCCTTTCCTTACAGCTGCTGCCTGACCTGCTGAGTATTCCCAGCATTTATTTCAGATTTCCAACCTCTGCCTATTTGGATTTTGCACCAGCAGTTAGCAGGGTCTCTCGCTATTGGGCAGCAGATCTGCATCTGCAGGCAAAGAGTGAGAGGCTCACGGTTCAGGTAGAGCCCTAGAAGTGTGGGATTTTACAGTATGCCAGGAAGTCAATAAATTGATCAGGCCTTTTTAAAAAAAAACTACCCCTCTAACCCACACTGACCATCCATTAACCGTGACAAAGCAGTTAATTCCAGTGTCCAGTCCTTCGATCGTGTAAGATTTATACTGTGCCTGAATATGGCACAATGTTACCCCCAACTCTTGAAGACATTGAGCACCAAGCAAGTGGCTCAGATGCTTTATTTTGATATGCATTGATGTTCTACCTGTACCATCCTCGGTGAGTGCCATGTTAGAGTGGGTCAGGATTCAACCTGTCAATTATCTAATTCCAGAAAGGTGCCAGGTGGACCACTTGCTGAACATTTCACTGCGGGAGGATGAGTTGAACAAGGCCCTGCAAGGTTTGGATGGTAATCTACTGCAAGCACGTGCTGCACTCCAAGCTGCCTACATTGAGGTTCAAAAGCTGTTGGTTCTCAAACAACAGGTACTTGCTATATTGGAATAAAAATGTCTTCTGAGTTAAACCAATGAATGAGATGTGACATTCGATATGGTCTAAGAATGGGATATCATATTTTGAGAAACTGTCCATATATATTAATACTTGTCAATAAATAGTTTTAAAGGGGCACGTAGTTCAGTGCTTGATGACGGTGGTGTTTAACAAACATGCGCACACTGCATGTATCAACTCAACAAAATAGGTGACAGCCATTCGCTGGTTCATTTCTCAGGGCAATGCCTTGACCAATCAGAGTTAACCTGCCTGGGTTGAAATTTAAACAAAACCTGGCTGTTAAGTGTCATTGACCATTGTCCAGGGCATCCACCATGTCAACATCTTTTAGTCTACCTGCCAATCAGTCATGATTCTCCACATGTGAAATAATGATGCCCACAAAACCACTGCTAATTGTTGTTAAAAACCCCATATGGTTCACTAATGTCATTTATAGAAGCAAATCTGCCGTCCTTACCTGGTCTGGCTTACATGTGACTCCAGATTCACGGTATTGAGCCTTATCTGACTCTGAAATGGCCTCCCCAACTGCTACGAAATCGAAAGAATGGAATAGATACAGATGGACCACCTAAAACTCGAAATGATGATGGCAAACACAGCCCTATCAATCCTGGAAGTGCTTCTTACTGATCTCTAGGGGGCTAGTGCCAAAATTGGGAAAGCTGCCTCTCAGACAAGTCAAACAACAGCCTGACATAGTCGTACTCACGGAATCGTACCTTGCAAAGTCCCAGTTGACACTATCACCGTCCCGGGATATATCCTGTTCTGTTGGCTGCTGGTTAGGTCATACCTACTACAAAGGAAAATAGTTGCAGTTGTTGGGAGTCAGTCATCTCAGCTCCAGGACATTTTGGTATCAGTTATCCAGGGGAGTGCCCTAGGCCTATCTGCCTTCAGCTGCTTCATCAATGACCTTCCCTCCACCATAAGGTCAGAAGTGAGAATGTTCTTTGATGATTGCGCGATGTTCAGCACCATTTGTGACTCCTCAAGGACTGAATCAGTCCACGTTAAAATGCAGCAAGATCTGGACAATGTCCAGGCTTAGGCTGACAAGTGGCAAGTAACATTTGTACCGTTCAAATGCTAGACAATGACTGTCTCCAACAAGAGAAAACCTAACTATCTTGAAATTCAATGGCATAATCATCATTGAACTCCCCACTACCAACATCCTGGAGGTTACAATTGACCAGAAACTAAACTGGATTAGCCACATAGATACTGTAGCTATAACAGCAGGTCAGAGGCAGGAATCCTGTTGTGAGTAATTCACCTCCTGGCTTCCCAAAGCCATCTACAAGGCACAAGTCAGGAGTGTGATGGAATACTCCCCACTTGCCTGGATGAGTGCAGTTCCAACAACACTCAAAGAAGCTTGACACCATCCAGGACACTGCAGCCCGCTTGATTAGCACCACATCCACTCCGCCACTGATGCTCAGTAGCAGCAATGTGTTCTATCTACAAGATGCACTGCAGGATTCAACAGGTTCGTTAGACAGCACCTTCTAAACTCTCAACCGTTTCCATCTAGAAGGACAGCTAATATATGGAAGCGTCCATTTGCATGTTTCCATCGAAGCCAATCACTATCCTGATGTGGAAATATATTCACTCCGGTCGCTGGGTCAATATCCTGGATTTCCCTCCCATTGTGGGTCTACCTACAGCATGTGGACTGCACTGGTGCAAGAAGGCAGTTCACCACCACCTCCTCAAGGGCAACAAACGCTGGTCCAGCCATCCCATAACTGAATGTTTCTTTAGAAGTCTCCGTTTACATTAGTACTCTTACAGATTATCCTGATGAGCACAAGACATAAAGCTGTGACAAAATGAGTCTTCCTTACAGTTTTACATTGCCTTGTGAGAGGTTCCAATGTACACAGCACTCTGGGAACACATTACTGTTTATCACTGGTCCCTTTTTATCTTCTGTACAGATCACTCTGGAAATGAGCACATTGAGGAGCAAGAGAATTGAAATCCTTCAAGGACTACAAGGTGTGTTTCAGTTAGAAGACTCACACCAAAGACTGCAATGCAGAATCCAGGCTGACACTCCTGGAGTCAGGTCCCAAGATAGCTCTCACTCAGGATTCAGATCGGGTCTGGCATCGCATTTGTGCCTATTGATTAGTAGATTAGGAGGTGATGTTGGGAAAGAGGTATTGGGAGTGAGGCTGAGGTGAGGAAATGCAGGACTGGGATGTACAGGGGGTTGGTGGGGTAAAGAGTGTGAGGACAGAGGGAGCTTTGCAAGGTGGGCTGTGGGCTGGGGTTGGTATTGGTACCTGTCTGGGAGTGGTAACTGGTTGGGAACTCCACTGGGATTGAGTGCAAGTGGGATGTTCTGTTTGGAGAGCGAACAGGAATAAGATCTGCTACAGGAGTTCTGTTGGTAGAGGGAAACAAAACAGAAATTGCTGGAAAAGTTCAGCAGGTCTGGCAGCATCTGTGAAGGAAAAAACGTTTCAGGTCCTGTGACCCTTCCTCCGTTGGTAGAGTGAATGGGTAGGTGCAGAGGGGTGATTCAGCTAGTAAGGCTGCTGGTGTCAGTGGAGGGCAGGCTGTTCACGATTATTTCTCCCCATTTTCATAGAAGTTACCAGGGCCTGTGTCTTTGATTGATGCACGTTAATTTGCTGCGTTCCTGACAGAATCTTTGTGGTCTTCTTCAGAATCCTATGATCCTACCAGGGAGAGACAGCCACTGAGCCTAGCCATCGAAAGGAGCAGCAGCAGCAGCAGCAAGCTGCAGGTTGGAGTGACTGAGCTCAATTTCCAGACCCCATTCTCGTCACCCTTACTGACCAACTCATTCCCCCGCCCCAGCTCCATCTCCCAGCCGCGCAACGGCGAAACAGCCCCTGCTCTTCAGACCTCTGTGGAGAAAGCAATGCCGGACACTTCCATTAAGCAGGAGCCTGTCTCTCCGAAAGGGACAGAAGAGAATGCAAAAGACCCCTGGGCGCCGAGCAGTGGTCTTCATTCTGCCTCATCGTCACTTACAGGAGCCCATGGCAAAGGTACATGGTGATGGGGTGGGGTAGGGAAACAAAACATGCATTGATGATGCAGCACCTTGATAAGTTGAAGCATCGAACCTTGCGTGTGCCTGGGCATTGCAATGCTAATGAAGTACTTAGTGTTATCACTGAATTTGGAAAACATGGCAAGACAATTTGTACTCATCGCGATCCCGCTAATAGTTACGTGATCAACTAGCAGATAATCTGTTTTGGTCATACTAGTTGAAAGATAGATATTGATCAGGACCCTGATGTAAAGCTTCACCTGCTGTTCTATGAAATAGTGTTTTTACATCCACTTGAGAGGACATGCCAGACCCCTCTTTGATGTCCCTGATTTCTATTTGTCCTTCACTGGTGGTTGTGTTTTCACCTGCCTGTGCCCTAGCTTCTGGAATCCTCTCCCATTCCCTCTTAATGCCTTCGTTAAACCTAGCTTTATGACCAAGCTTTTGATTATGTGTCCTAATACTTCCTGACTTGGTAACTTGTCATAATTCGTATGATATTGGTCTGGTACGGCACCTTGTTTTGCTTTACTACATGGAAGAGTTTTGCAGGCAGTAAGATTTGTGGCTGTATACCAAGGATTGCTAGTCAGCACCTCTCCTACCTCTCTGATTGTCCTTGCACTGATGTCTCCAGTTCTCTATGGACTATTCAGCCTGTATTTATGGCTCTGCTATTGGCCCTTCCATTTCATGTGAGCCTCTCTGTTCCCTGGAATCAATTTCAGATAAGACCATCCATGATTTTTATCCCATTTCATCCCCCTTCTGTGTCTCAGCATTTCCTCCTTCTATATCCATCCCTGAAAAAAAAATCTATCTTCGTTTACTTACAACTGCACTTTCACAATCTAAATAATCTAGAAACAAAAACAGAAATTTGCTGGAGAAACTCAGCACGTCAGGCAGCATCCACGGAGAAAATCAGAGTTAACATTTCGGTTCCTTCTTCAGAGACCCTCTTCAGTTCTGAAGCAGGGTCATTGGACCTGAAACGTTAACTCTGCTTTTCCTCCACAGACGCTGCCTGACCTGCTGAATTTCTCCAGCAATTTCTGTTTTTGTTTCTGATCTCCAACATCTACAATTCTTTAGGGGTTTTTTTGTCAGAATAATCCAGCCTTTTTTTTTAAATAAATTACTTGTGGGAGTTGGGCATTGCTGGCTGGGCCAGCATTTCTTGACCATCGCTAGTTGTCCTTGAGAAGGTGGTGGGGAACTGCCTTCTTGAACCACTACAGCCCATAGATTATGCCATTTGCTGCAATATTTCTGCAGCAACTTGTTCACTCAACTGCACTCTCACACTACCGTAGTCATTCTCCACGGGTCTGAGAGACCACGTAAAGTTCTCTCAGATCCTGCTTATGTCTGCCTACACAATAATCCCAAAATGTAAAGATAACCCCTAAGCTTCTCCTTTCTACTGAAAGCCATCTGCTTTCTGACCACCCACTCCAACCTCGGATCCTGCATGATACCTGGCCTCTTCAGCATTTTCGATGTTGATGAGCTTGCTATTCGTGACTTTGACAGTCTGGGGCAGAAGTTCCAGAATATCCCTAGCCACCTCCTCACCACTCAACCTTTCCTTTAAGACACTTTTAAACTAAGTCTTCAAATATGTGTTTGGTCATCTGATCAAATATCCTGTATGAGGCTGAGTGTCATAATTTCTTTTGTTATGTTTTGTGCTTGTAAGGAGGGCAGACACTACTGTTGACCTATTGCTTTTAAGATGTTGGAGGATGAGGTTTTTAGTCTGCCCCTTCTGGTGAATGTAAATAATCCCTTGGAACTAACGAGGAATGTGGAGTTGTTCGGGCAAATATTTATCCCATAACAAATGAGAGTCACAGAAAACTGGTGTGCAGGTGCAGCAGGTAATAAGTGCAAGTAGAATATTGGCATTTATTGCGAAAGCGATAGGGTAAAGATAAAGTCACCATAGTCTTACCAGACCATAGGGCCGTTCTCTTAATAGAGAGAACAACTGGTGGTGGTTTAACCTGAGGGTCACCACACCTCAGCAAGGGGTGAGGTTGAGAAGGTGGTGGGGGAGCTTCGTGGTAACATCAGCTGGTGCAGGAATTGAGCCCATGCATTTGGTCTCACTGCAGTTTAGCATTAATAATGTGTCCAAGCCTCATTGGTTGGGACATCCTGATGACGCATCAGGCAAATGCAATCCACGGTTTGATGGATCCCATTGAGTCTCGCCTGAACGGCTGTGCCCTCTGTTTCCTGCAGGTGAAATGCGATCTCTGGGCTTCCCGATCATCACGTTGCCACCACCTCTCCAGCACCTCACCGAAGGCCTCTCACCACTGGGCCCTGGGGCAGTGGGTCTACCTGCCGACCACAGCAGAAGTGGGACTGAGGAGGCTCGTGGCATGGCTCCCCCGGCGTTCAGACTCCAGAGAGGGGCTGAGACCGGGGCGACCCAGCACAGGAAGTCGTTTGCTGTGCCAGAGCAACCCAACCCACCGCCAGCCGGAAAGTGCCGGAAGGAACCCAAGCTTCCTGAGAAAGATCGGAGGAGCCGGGCGAGCGAGCAGGTGGTCGAGTCGTCTTTCACTCCCTCGGAGGGCAAAGGCGTTAAAAAGAAAAAGAAACTCAGGAAGAAAAAGTCAGCCCGGGTGGAGCAACCGGGCGAGAACAGCGACACCGAGCAAGACAATGAGCATTTCCGACCCACCCGCAAACTGAAAAGCAAAAGGACGCTCAAGGGAAAGGTCACAACCTCGACCCCCCAAGAGTCAGAGGGCATCTCCGCCCCCAGGGAGAAAGGTGGTCCGAAGGGGGAGAGTGAAATGGCGAGTGCCTCCACGGACAGTGATTTCTCTGTGGAGCTGGTGGAAATCCCCAAAGCCCAGCTGGATGTTGTCGATGTGGAATCTGTGGAATTAGCTAGTGAGCAGCTGATTCCAAGTCAGTGTCCTACTGACACCCCCAAAGCAGGCTGCAACGAGGTAACTTCGACCAGTGAGATGGTGACTGGTGTCACCAAGAGGTGAGACTCGGAGAGGTTTCTGGGCAGGTCTAGCAATCTCCCCATTTTTCAAATTCTCCTCTTTCTGCTCCTCAGATCCCTTACCTATCTGCGCAATCTGTTTAAGGCCTACAACCATCTCTGGTCATCACTACGGGCCTCTTGCCATGTTTAATCACTCCAGCATGGATGGTCATGCTTTCAGCTGCCTGAGCCTTGCCACTTTACAATTCCCTCCCTGGAAACCTCTTTGTTTTTCTGTCTCTCTCTTCTCCTTTAAGATTGTCCTTTAAAACCTATCCCTGGGACTGAGTGTTTTCTCTCCTTGGGGATGTTTCAGTACATTAAAGATACCGTGTAAACATGTGATGTCCCTCCTGGACAGATTACAGCGAGAGATCTCAGACTCAGCTGCTGCCGAGTTAAACGATCTCAAGCATTGACACCAAGCAGAGTGCTGTAGCCTAGTCTCCGTACTGTGGAGATGCAGCATCGCCAGGAATCTCAGGCCTGTGGTATTGCATCCAGTAGCAGTCAGTGCTTTCAAAAGCCAGCCTCACTGGTTCAATACCATCACTTCAAAGAAAAAAGGAAAACTGAGCACGGTGGCTCAGTGGTTAGCACCGCTGCCTCTCAGCGGTAGGTACCCGGGTTCGATTCTCACCCTCGGGCGACTGTCTGTGTGGAGTTTGCACATTCTCCTCCGTGTCTGCGCTGGTTTCCTCCAGTTTCCTCCCACAGTCCAAAGATGTGCAGGTTAGGTGGATTGTCTGTGCTAAATTGTCCACAGTGTCCAGGCTAGGTGGGTTAGCCATGGGAAATGCAGACTTACAGGGAACGGGGTAGGAGGGTCGGTCTGGACTCGATGGGCCAAAAGGCCTGCTCCCATGCTGTAGGGATTCTACGATGATTTAAAAGGGTGGTGAGGGGAAAGCACCTTTCACAACCTCAGGACACCCGGCATGTTTTGCAGCCAGTTGTCATGTGGGTAAACTCGGCTGTCAGTCTCCATGTAAACACATTTGTCCCACAATCCTTCAGGAGATACTGTGTTGGTTGAGGGGCTGCCATGCTTCTCTTCCAGTAGTGCCATTAGCATCTTTCACATCCACCTACGAGGACAGTTTGGCCGTCTAAAGGGGAAGCCTGAAACTCCAACTGTGCAGCACTAGCTCAGGAGGGTCCCAACATGGATCAACTTTGATAGAGACATGGCTGTGTTTACCATATGACAGTGGTGTCCTCCACACCAATGTGCCCACCTTTATTTTCTGTTTTTAAACAGTGTGGCTGAGACACAGACTCCTGGGTCATCATTGAAAGGATCAAGGAACACATCAGGTATCAAACCCTATATTGAACGAGATGACAGAGATTTTGTTGGATGCTGGTATGTTTGAATGGCATGACCCTGAGCTTGTATGGATAGTGACAATGACTTGTCTCCTTAATTCTGTCCTGCCCTTGCGTTCCCCGCACCCAACCTACCAACCCACCTCCTCTCCATGCTCCCACTCCTCTATTGACCACCAGGGTATTTTGCTGGGTCAACAGGAGGCAGGTATCGATTATCATGGGCTGAGGCAAGCAAATTCCAACATGTCTGTGTGCTATTAAGTGAAACTTGAGTGAGCAGTTCTGATGGTTTGAGGTACCAGTGCATGTTGTTTCCCTGTCTGATCACTGCCTTGTCCTCTTAGAGGTGTCTTCAGATGGTGCAGAGGACGATAATCCCAGTGAAGGAACCTTTGAAGGTCACCGGGCATCTGTCAATGCCATGCAAATATACAATGGCCACCTGTATACCTGCTCCGCTGATAAAACCGTGCGCATCTATAACCTGATGGTAAGAGAAGTCTGTGCTCGGGCTGTTGCTGATGGACCAATTAATTGATCTTGCTTTTTGTTTCACTAAGATCTGGTTCCAAATATATTGGACATTAGTTTTCTGTGTACTGTACAGCAGCCACAAATGATTGACTTTTGGCTGTGAAGAAAGGTTTGGTAGCAATAAGTTGGGCCTCCTGTTCAAGGATGCGGTTAAACTCAGGATTTTAGCTACAGCGCGTATTCAAGAAGGGAGGGAAGCAGAAAACCGAAAGCTAGCGGCCAGATAACTTGAACAGCTGTGGAGAGAAATAAGAGTTTCGGGCTGAGTGATCCTCCTTCAGAATTCGAAACGTTAACTGCGATTTCTCTCCACAGATGCTGCCAGTCCTGCTGAGATTTTCCGGCAACTTCTGTTTTCATGTCTGATTTACAGCATCCACAGTTCTTTTGGTTTTTGTTAAACGTTTGTCATGGGATAGTGTTCAAATTGATCATTATAGCTGCACACTTAGGAAAAACTCTCAACAATTGGGAAGAGTCAGCATGGTATTCTCAAAGGGAAGTCATGTTTAACCAATTATTGGAGTTCTTTGAAGGAGTAATGCATACAGTGGATAAAGGACAGCCTGTACTGGCCTTTTATTTCCAGACATCTTTTGATAAGGTGCTACATTAAGGGTTTTTTGCAGAAAATAAAAGCTGTAGAGGATAATATATTGGCATGGATAGGAGATTGGCTGGCAGTGAACAGAGACTACTTGTAAATAAGTCTTTGTCTGATTGGCAGGGTGCGATGAGTGGAGGTCTGCAGGGGTCTGTGCTGGCATCTCCAACTTTTTAAATTTACCTCAATGAGTCGAGCGACAGCATGGTCGCTAAACTTACAGATAACCCTGAAATGGGGAGGGAAATATGGCACGGACAAGACACGGAGTTGCTGATTGAAAGTAAAGTTGAAAAGGTGGGCCAACATCTGGCATTTGGAGTTCAGTTTGGCAACAAAATGTTTAAAAAGGGTATTACTAAATGGAGGACATTGGTGAAACTGCACCAGTTTTGGTCTCCTTATTTAAAAAAAAAACGATGGAAACACATTGGAGGCAGTCCAGAGGAGATTTATGAGATTGATACCTGGAATGAATGGTTTATCTTATGAAGTGCGATTCTACCGTGTAGTTTAGAAGAGTAAAAGTCAATTTGATTGAAGTGTATGTGATCCTGAATGGTCTTAAAGTGGATGTGGACAGGACGTTTCGTCTTGTGGATGAGACCAGAACTAGAGGGCTCTGCTTTAATGTTAGGAGTCACCTTGTTAGGATATGTTGAGAACATTTCTCTCTGAGGGTTGAGAGACTTTGCAACTCTGCATCAGAAGGTGGCAGAAACCAGTCTCACAAAGTTATTTTTTCAGGCAGCAGTAGCAAGATTCTCATTGGAAATAACTGAAATTCAAAACAAACTAACACTAACCAGTCACCCATGATCCTAAGGAATGGTGCAGTGGGATCAAGGGGCTGAATAGCCTACTTGTAATTGGAGAAGTTGGGGTTACTCTCCTTGCAGCAAAATAGATTGGAGAGAACTGGTGGAGTAGTACAGGGTGATGACAAGTTTAAATAAGGTGGGAAAGGAAAAGCTATTTCTATAGCTGATCATTAAAGGGCTGTGGGACACAATATAAGGCTTTTGGGTAAGAGATGCAGTGGTGTGAAGAAGAGCATTTCTGGCCAACAAGTGCTAATGACCTAAAATTCACTGCCTAGGAGAAAGATAGAATTGTAGATCATCAAGGATTTAAAGAGGAAGTTGGGTAGGTGCTGGAGGGCAATAAACATGAATAGGTGCATGATTGGAGTGGAGACTGTCTGTCCAGGACCCAGTGCAAATTGGATGGATTAAATAGGCCCTGTGTGCGCCTTAAACATTCAGGATTATTGAAGCCATTCCTAGCTCCAGTTTAGTTCCAATAATTACAGATGTGAAATTTCTGCTGGTGGAAAGAATTGCAGTTTGTGGAAAACAGATCTTAGCCCTTATACGTTTTGGTTCCACCCACTGCCTGGCTGAGGGAGAGATGTCAGCATTGAATCTCCTGCCCATCTGACAAGATTGTGTCAGTAAGTGGGAGCAGCAGAGATTGCAGCACCCGGCATTTGCTGCTCCTACATGCCCTGCAGCTTCCTTCTTCCATGTATTCCAGCAATTACTGGAACTGATGATACCGGAGTGTGGTGTGGGAGCAGGAGTGAGGGGATGTGAGACCGAGAGTGGTGTCGGGGGGGGTGCCTGGGAGTATAGTCGAAGGGTGATGGTGATGGAGGGGAGGGCTGGTGGGAGCAGTGAGGCCAATACTGAGAGCCAGGCAGGGAGTTGTTGAGAAATGGGTGAGGACAAAGTGGGTCTGAATCCATTGCGCAGTGCTGGGGTGGGAGTTTGGCTAAAAGCTTTGAGATCTGAAAAGATCAGTTTCACAAAGTAGTGTGACTATAGTTGGCTCTGGAACTAGTTTGGTGGTTTGTAGGTCAGTATAGGAATGGTGGGCTAAAGGGGTCTGTTTCCCTGCTGTGTTTTCTACATTTATACAATATATATTGATCCATAATAGGTGAATTTTAATTAAAATAGGCCAACTGTTTCAAGCTTCTGTATTGCTAAAAAATAAGCTCTTGGAAATTATATAATTGTCCTCACTATGGACAACCTTTGTTGCCCCATATCTAAATCCCCTCAAGAGGGTGGTGGTGAAATGGAGTTACACATTGGGAAGTGGTTTGCAAAGCCCTACCTTAGTCCTTTGCTTTGCTTCTCATGTATATAATCCAACAATGTGACATCCATCATCAGTATGATCTTCACCCTGTTTTACATTCAGTAACAGCATTGAATACTGAAATGTTGAGATCACTTTGATACAAATGCATCGATCCATAGTCTTAATGGTAATAGGTAAACAAAGGGAAACCTGATGTTTTGACTCACTTAATGTCTAATAGTTACATCTATTTGAAGTAGCCTCAGGGTACTTGAATTTTCACTCTCGGTCATACAACATTGCTTGTCATGAAACCATTTCAGACCATTTTGTCTTTGACCCTTCTCAGCCCTGGCTAATCCCTAGCACAAAACACACAAAGTAGTTGGGTGTAATTCTGAGCATCTCTGTTAGAGACAGAGCATAGAAACTATAGGGGGATCACTGTGTACATTCATCAGGATGATGCCAGGGATGGGAATCTAAGGTTAGGAAGCGAGATGTGAACTATCAAACTGCACCATTGAAACTTAGAAAATTGAAGGGGAAATTACACTGAAGTTTCTAATACGATTAATACGGAAGGACTTTTTCTGTGGTTATGGAGTGAGTGATGAGGGGTCGTTGTTAATTATAACCTAATTATTTACTTGTGTTCAGGTTATGGACATTAGCTGGGGACTCAGCAACTGTGGTTGTTGTATTTGGAGCTATGTGTAATATGTCTCTCCATAAATAAAAGCTTGAGGGGCGTAAAGATTAGGCTGCTCTTAAATGCTCCACTGCCTACTATCTGAAGTCGAACAGTCATCCCTTGAAAGTTATCAGAGACATGGGGCAGGAGAAGGCCCCTCTACACAGAGGATAGATGTAGCTTGAACTGCTTTTGCCTCACAATGGTTGCTGCAGAGATTGCTGCATCTGTTCAGGGAAAATTGGACAACATTTGTGCCACAGATTAATAGAAGACAATGAAGAGAGTTTGGGCAAATCAAGTTGCTCAATCTGAGATCTGGCTCGGACACCATGGACCAAGTGGCCTTTGGTGCCGTGGGAGCTGATGCTCCAGTGTTTTACTTCAGTGGGAGCTGATGCTTCAGCTAGTCCAGGAGCTGCCAACCATGTGTTTTACAGGTTGAGCATTTTTATATCTGAATATCACGAAGGGAACTACATGTCTTTCTGCTGAATCGTCAGTTGTTTCTCCTGCAAACTTTGTTGTTAAATCCGTGTTGAACATGTTTTATGTTTCCACTGCTTCAGAGTCGGAAATGTGTGGGTCTCTTTGAGGGTCACACCACAAAGGTGAACTGCCTGCTAATCATACACATTCAAGGGAAGACAGCGTGTCTGTATACGGGATCCAGTGACCACACTGTACGCTGCTACGATGTGAAGGTGGGTCATTACACCGCATGATGGGTCCATCCTTCAACCTGTGTTGTTAACAACAAAGGAATAGAAAGAGACTGGTTCAACTCCTTTAGCTTGTTACAGTTGAGCGGGAGACCTCCCAGCACCTCGAGCTTGTTTATCTGTACAGTTGGTCCACACCTCGATTCTCATTTATCCACCATAGCATCAGATCCCTTAGCTTGAAAGTACATCTAACAAACTCCATTCTGAAATTTTCAGTTGGCTCCCAGCATGTTTGGGGGGGTGTGGGAGAGGTTGGCTGTATTAAGGATTTGCAGATTGCCGTTGCCTTTTGAGTGAAATTGTACTTCTTAACATTGTCCCTGAATGGCCTAAGGGCACCATGTAGTCTTGTGACCCTCTGATCTGGAGTCTTCTGCTAACACCCCATCTTAAGCTCCTTAAATACGCGCCTTAAATCATCCCTTAAGCTTTTAAGATGTCAAGCAAACAGGGGGTTAGAGTTGGATGTTCGGTTTGATTGAAACTTTTGAGTGCACAGATTGGAAGCCTCCTCGTGTGCTTTGAAGGTCGAAGCCTGAGAAATGTTGAGCTGGTGAACTGAATGGCCTGACGCTGAAAGAGGGTGACTAGGAGGATGAGCCATTCCAATTCCAACTGGCACTGAACAGGAGAGACCCAGCAGCTCCCTGCTTCTGGGAATTTTGGGACCACTGGCTGTCCAATCTGAGTGAAGGGAGTGGGGAGCAATGATGAAATTGATGAGCCCAGGGCTGTTTGAACATACTCCTTCTGTCTTTCCAGCAGAAGAGCGACACAATGGCTCAGTGGTCAGCACTGCTGCCTCACAGCGCCAGGGACCTGGGTTCGATTCCACCCTTGGGCGACTGTCCGTGTGGAGTTTGCAGATTCGCCCTGTATCTGTGTGGGTTTCCTCCGGGTGCTCCGGTTTCCTCCCACTGTCCAAAGATGTGCAGGTTAGGTGGATTGGCCATGCTAAATTGCCCATAGTGCCCAGGCTAGGTGGGTTAACCATGGGAAATGCAGGGTTACACAGATAGGGTATGGGTCTGGGTGGGATGCTCTTCAGAGGGGTGGTATGGGTTCAATGGGCCAAATGGCCTGCTTCCACACTGATAACAAATTGTTCTGTGAAAAATGATGGCACAGCTATGTTATATTTGTCTGCTGGAAAATTGGGGGTGCCCCTCCCTTGTATATTGTTGCCCAGTCTTCAAAGAACAGCCCGTGTGGAGGTTGGGATCACTGTAATTACTGAACCTTGCTGTAGTATCATCATTGTAGCTCTTTGCTTTCGATTTCAACAGAGCAAGATGCACCTGGACCAGTTCACTTTGCCAGACCGTGTGCTGAGCTTGCACAGTCGATGGCGTATCTTGTACATTGGGCTGGCCAATGGCTCTGTATATTCCTTCAGTGTTAAGGTAAGCACATAGGTGCATATCCTCCTCCCCCCTCCCCCCTCCATTCATGTGCATGGACATCCCCTCCCCTTGGGCCTGCTCTCACCTTCACCGCTCAGGCTACCTACCCCCTCCCTTGGACTCCATCCTTTCCTTTTTCCTGTCCCTCAGGCCTGCAGACCACAAGGCTTGTAATGGGGTACAAGCCCTGGGTTTTTAAACAGACTATTATTGATGTTCTTCAAGCAGGTTTTTGCTTGCTCACATCTTCTGTAAAACCAAACTGATACAAAACTCCAGATGTGATATTATAACTTACACCGTCCAGTTTACCCAGCACCCTATCGCTCAGTGATCTGCACCCACTCCCATTCTGGCAGTGGTTAGTTTTAAATTCTTATCCTTATTTTCAAGACCCTCAATATCTCTTAATTTCCAAATCTGCAATCTTCATTTGTACGTTCCTGTATTTCTGGCCTCTCGTACATTCCCAATTCTAATTGCTGCAATTTTGCCATCTAGACTCCATCCTCTGGAATTCCCTCTGAGTCTACCTTGCGTTCCTCTCCTAAGACTGCTTCTTAAAACTCTTACTTGACCAGGCTTTCAGTTATCTCTCTCTTTCTGGCTGGTGTTAACATTTGCTTGATTATACTATTTTACGGTGAAGTACATAGGGCCTTTCACACAGTAAAACATTGCTAAGTAAAGTAGGAGATATTATTGAAACAGAGGGAATCAATAAAACTGGGTTGGGCTTTGTGGAAATGGAAAAGAGGTGTGCACAACAGTATAATCTTAAAGTGTGGCTCGTTTCTCTATATCACAAAACCATGGTGAATCTTTATGGAACACTGGTTCATTCCTAACTGGAGTATCGTGTGTTGTGCCCGATTCGATATACCAAAGGCATGTAGGCATTAGCGAGAGTGTAGAAATGATTCATAAGCATGGTTCTGGGATAAGGGGCTTCAGTTTGCACATTGATCAGAGAAACTGGGCTTGTTCTCCTTAGAGAAGATTCAGAGGAGATTTTGTAGAATTATTCACCTTCTGGACCAGTCTGAGCAGAGTAGATGAGGAGAAACTGTTCCCATGGGCAAACTTGAGGGAGAAATGTTTTGATGTAGCGCGTGGTTAGGAAATGTATTGCCCAAGAGTGTAGTGGAAGCAGGTGCAATTGTGGCTTTCAAGAGGGAACTGGCTAAACACCTGAGAGAATTTTTAGGACTACAGGGAAGTGGCAGGGCAGTGGATGAGCTGCAGTTGTCTTACAAAAAGATGGCACCAATATAATGGACTGAGTGACCTGGTTCTGGTATGTCATCGTTCTATTGTAAGGCACGGGCCAGGATCGGAGAGGACCCAGAGAACACTGCTGTCAGTATTCCATATGTGGTCACACCAAAGCCCTGTATATATTTAGCAAGATTAGTTGCCCTTATACCCTTGATATAAAGGAAAATTGATTTATCTTCCTGTTTGCTTGCTGAATTAGCATGCTACCTTTGTGTTTCTTACACTGGTACACCCAAATTTCCCTGGACATTTATAAGTTTCACTTATTTTTAGAAAATATTCCTATTTCTATTTTCACAACCAGAGTGAGAAGCTCATTATTTCCTTTCTGCCACCTTACTGCCCATTCACTAACCAGTCAGTATCTCTTTGTAGCCTCCCGGTGTCCTCATAGTTTATATTCCCCACAAGCTTTTTATTGTCAGCAAAGCTTCTCTTCGTCTAATGTAGAGTGTAAATAAATAGGCTCAATTACTGATCTTTACAGCACTCCATTAGACATTGCCTGCCAACTTGGAAGCTCTGTCCTTGCTGTCCTGTCCATTAACTAACCTCCACTCACACCAATACATTACTGTCCAGGTTCAGCGATGTGTTCAAATTGATTGATTTTTTTCTTATTACTTTGAACTGCTACAAGCCTTTTATGTGGCACCTTATCAGCAAGTGCCTTTGGAAATCCAAATATTCAACATCAAATGGTTCCCCTCTATCCACCCTATTGGTTGTATCCTCAAACGTCTAATGACTTTATTAAACACAATTTCCCTTCCATGGATTATGTTCAGGCTATGCTTTGCAAAATGCATTGTTAGGACTTCCTTAACAGATGCTAGCACTTTGCTGTTGACAGATGCCAGGCTAACAGGTATATTTTCCTTGTTTCGTCATTCCCATCTTTCTTGAATATCAGTGTTAGATTTGCTAACCGATCCTCAGGTACAATTCTAGAACCTAGAGGATTTTTAAAACCCATAACCAGCATGTCCACTATCTCAGCAGCTTGCTTCTTCAGAACCCGAGTTCCTGGGAATTTGTTGGGTTTTATTCTCAAGTTTTCTCCAGTACCTTTCTCTGATACTAATTATCTTATGTTTCTCATTCTTATTTAAATTGGTTGTCCCTTGGTTGTCTCTTCTACCGTGAACAGTGTCCAGTATTTAATCAATACTTTTCCTATTTCTTCATTCTCAATGATTTTTCCTGATCCTCTGCCTTTTATTAATAAAATCTTTTATTTTAAGCTGTTGTGTTCTCTTTATATTCTGCAAAACAACTTTTATTGATCTTGTTTAACATCTGTTAATGTTTCCAACTGCACTGAGCTAATTTCATCCCACTTCCCAACCAATCCTCACAAACTGTATCATTTGAAATCTTTACTCTTCCCATCTCTTCCACCAATGCTTTGCCTTGCTTTTCTGACAATTCCAAGTGCGTGGGCATTTTCTCAAGACAAGGGCAGTGTGGAAGGACTTGGAAAGCAGGCAGGGTTAGTTGATACCTGCTGAGAAGCACCGGGACACTTTTGATGGGCTGAGTGGTCTGTTTCTGTTGTCTGGTAAATACAGAGAGTGATCATTCTCTTCTAATGGGGTGAGCCCAGGACATCCTGAATTGTTTTTTTCTTGCTCCTATTTCCTCAGACCAACAAACAGCTCGATGTGTTTGACTGTCACGCTCCCCGAGCAGTCAGCTGCTTGGCAACAGCACAGGAGGGAGCCCGCAGACTGCTACTGGTCGGATCGTACGATTGTACCATCAGTGTTCGTGATGCCAGGAATGGGTTATTGCTCAGGACATTGGACGGTCACACTAAGACTATCCTGTGCATGAAGGTATGGCTGGTGAAGTGTTGCACATCAGGGTGGGGTCTGTGGCAAAAAAAAATACTTGAAATGTCTGCTGTTAGGAAGTGGGTGTGATGTGTGTGACTGTAGAGGAGAGAGACCTGTGTATGTGCGCGAGGGTGAGAGTGCCGTGTCTGGTTGCAGGGGTCAGAGGGATGCTGTCTGAGATGCGTGGCATCTGTGCCTGGAGACAGCAGTGACTTATGTTTTGTGTTTTCAGGTGGTGAATGATTTGGTTTTCAGTGGTTCCAGCGATCAGTCTGTACATGCTCACAACATCCATGTAAGTTTTCACTATTTGGAATTCAAAAACGCGTTGTTTAATATGGTTTAGTATTTCGAACAGGCCTTAAACACATGACCGAGCAGTTACTTCGTGTTTTCTCAAGATCCTGCTTGAAATAAATCCTAATGCAAGAGTAAAGAAGCCTTGTTTAGGAGTTACTGGTTTAGAACCCATTCTGTGGTAACATTACTCCTTCAGTGGTTTAATGCACAGCAAAATCTTGAGTTTTCCAGGACAGGAAATCTTCAAGTTGATTTCCAGTGCCTGCTGAGCAAGCAAATTTGAACCTGGCAATGTTGACATCAATGAACACAACAGCCCAGGGCTAATGCACTTGAACAGGTTTCAGAAATGGTACTTATACAACCTATATTTCTGACATTAGAATTGAACCCCTGTAGGTCCAGTGTCACTCGCGGATTAGTCCTGCTTATTTTGGATATGTCATTGAGAGAGCCAAAGCATTCAGTTAAAATGCGAACACAAACATTATCACCAAATTGTTTAAATTCTTCTTGGTTCTTTTCCTTCATATATGATCCAAAATATATCTGATAATCATGTAACGGAGCCCAAAAACAGACTGGACAAAATCACCCTTGGGTTTCAACTCCTCACTTGACTGTGAGAGCAAAGGTGTGTATTTCAGTAGTGCCCACAACTGACACTGTGGTATTGACCAGATTTTGTTTTTATTATATCAGGAGCTAAATATAGACCCAGTGCACCAGGGAGAGCTGTCCTCCTTTTAGACACAGCCCCCTTGGAATGTGTGAAGGTGTTGGCCGTGCTTTCGTTGGTAGCGTTCTTGCCTCTGAATCAGAAGCTGTGAGTTCAGGTCTTACTCCAGAATATAAGCACAGAACTCAAATCTGACATTTCGCTGAGGGCACGTCAGCATTCAGAGTTGTTGTGTTTCAGGAGAGACATTAAACTTTGGCCACCCTCAGGTGGATGTGAAAAATCCAGCGGCACTGATTTCAAGATACAGACAACTATCTCCCAATGTGCTGGCCAGTATTTCCCCCTCTGTCTACCTTAGCAGAGCAGATTGTCTGGCCATTATCACATTGTTTTTGTGGGAATTCTGCATTGGCTGCCGTGTTTCCCACCTTCGATCATCAGTAACTTACAAATACTTCAATGGCAAAGGACTTTGGGACATCCCGTTTTCACGGAAGGTGTTACATGAATGTGTTTTTTTTTCCTCATCCACCTGAGAGCACAAATGGGGCCTCAAGTTTCAATCAAAAGGCGGTGCTGCACTCACTCAACCCTGCACTGAAATGTCGCTCTCAATTATGCATCACCTTGTTTATGTATCAATAATTTAAACGTCAAGTTAAGGGGCATGACTCAGACTATGCACGTGATAGAAAGCTGACTGTGTGCTCATAGTGAGAAGGGAAGGTGTAGACTGCAGCAAGATATCGTGGCTTGTCAGGTGTCAGGACAATAGCAATTGCAGGGTTGTCCAGACAAATGAGGGGTAATCCACCCGGGCAGGAGAAACCAGGCAAAGTAATGAACAATTATTATAACTCGTGGGATACTGAGAAGTGTCGTTCAGGTAGCTAGGGGTTGTTTACTTTGGAACACAGCACTGAGAGAAGATTTAACTGAATTGTCTAAAATTGAGGGATAGGTAGGAAGAATTTTCCTTTGGTAAAGACGACAATAACCAGAGGTCATAGATTTAAAATCATTGATGGAAGGATTAGAGGTGAGTTGCATGTTTTTTTTTCACCAGGAGTTTGATGGGTACGTGGAACTCATTCCTAATAGGGTGGGAGAAGGAGTAACCCTCACTGTGTTTAAAAAAATATTTGGACATGACCTTGGCAGTGGTGTAACCTGCAGGGAAGGAGACCAAACAAGTATCATTGAGTTAGAAGCAGTTCAGGGAAGATTCACTTGACTGATTCCTGGTATGATGGGTTATCCTACAAAGGCTGGAGCTCAGAAGAACGAGATGATCTCATCAAAACACGATCCTGAGGGAACACAGGAGTAGGTCATTCTGCCCATTCAGTTACATCATGGCTGATCATCTACTTCAAAGCCTGTTTTCTGCATTTCTCTCTAACCCTTGATGTTATTAATCTCCAGAACACTGTCGATTTCTGTCTTGAACCTACTCGGTGATTCAGGTTCCACATCTCTGCAATTCACCACCTTCTGAATGAAGAAATTTTTCCTCATTTCAATCCAAAATGGCCTGTCCCTGGTCCTGAGATAGTGTTCCCTGGTTTTTGACTCAATAGCCAGGGACTACATCTTACTCACCCTTCATGAATTTTGTAAGTTTCAATGGGGTCACCTCTCATCCTTCGAAACTCTGGTGAATACAGATCTAGAGTTCTCAATCTCACCATCCCTGGGATCGATCTGGTGAACTTCCGTTGCACTTTCTCGAAGGGAGACATGTATTCTTCCTCACATAAGAGCACCAAAACTTTGCACGTACAACTACAGGCCATCTTTATTCCTGTTCTCAAATCCACTTGCGATGAACACCAGTGTACAATTCATCTTCCTACGTGGTTGCTGCACCTACCTGCTGACTTTCAGTGACTCATGGACTCATGAACAAGAACACTCTGGTCCCTTTGGACACTTGTGCTTCATCAATTGAGAAATATTCTTCCTTTCTGTTTTTGTTTTCTACCAAAGTCAATAACTTTGCACTTTTTCTAAACTGCTCACTTAGCATGTTGAAATCCCATTGCAGCTTCCTTGCATCCTCCTTAGTTTGGTTTCATCAGCAAATTTTGGAAATATTGCATCTTGTTCACCGCTTCCAAAACATTTGTATAACCTATGAGCCAAGCAATGGTCCTTGTGACAGACACCCCACTAGCAACACATTACCATCCTGAGAGTGATCTGTTTGTTCCAATTCTCTGTTTTGTGTTCATTAACCAATTCACAATCCATACTCATACAATTCCTCCCAATCCCATCTGCAGTCATTTTATTTACTAACCTCCTCTGTAGGGCCTTATCGAAAGCCAAAAATCCAAATACACCACATATACTGGTTCTCCTTTATCTATGCTAATTTTCTCACACAACTCCAAAAAGCTTGAGACGTGATTTCCCTTAAATCTGTGTCCACTCTGCCAAATTTTACTAGTATTTTCTAAATGTCCAATTATCACAATCTTCAAAATGGATTCTCACATTTTCCCTGCTACTGTCAAGATAACAATCTGTAATTCTGTGTCCACTTTCCCTGTTAAATAGTGAGGCTACAGTTGTCACATTGCAGTCGCAGGTACCTTCCCAGAAACTATAGAATTTTGAAAGTTTACCACCAAAGCATCCATTATCTCTCCAACCACCTCCTTGAATGGTCTGATCTGGTTCAAGAGATTAATCAACCTTCAATCCAGTTAACTTCTCAAGTGCACCCTCTTTATTAATTCTAATTTCTTTCAGTTCCTCATTTTCACAAGATCGCTTGCCTGCCCAGTACTTTTGGGAAAATTTCTGCATCTTCTGTGAAGACAGACGCAAAGCAACCATTTAGTTTCGCTGCCATTTCCAAGGCTTTACATTATAAGCTTTTCTGACCCCACTTGTAATGATCCACACTTGTCCTAACTTTTCTCTTTACATAAGCTGACAGTCCACCTTTATGTTCTCACTGGTTTGCATAAATATTCTATCTTCTCTTTCTTAATCAGTTTCTTGATCCTCCTTTGCTAGGTTCTAAATTGCTCCTTAATCTCAGGCTTGCAACTTTTCCTGGAATCATTATGAACCACTTGCTTCAGTCTAATACAATCTTTAACTTCTTTCATTAACCACAGTTAATTTACCTTTCCCTTTGGATCTTTGTGCCTCAGAGGAATGTATGTCTGCTGCAGTCACTGTAGTCTTTTCTTTCAATACCAGCTATTGCTTTTTATTTATTCATTCAGGGGATGAGGGTGTCACTGACTAGGGCTCATCCCTAATTACCCAGAGAGCAGTTAAGAGCCAACCACATTGCTGTGGGTCTGGAGTCACATATAGGCCAGACCAGGTAAGGATGGCAGTTTCCTTCCCTAAAGGACATTAGTGAACCAGATGGGTTTTTTCAACAATCAACAATGGGTTTATTATCATCATTAGACTCTTAATTCCACATTTTTTTTTATTGAATTCAAATTCCACCACCTCCTGCCGTGGGACCCAGATCCCCAGAACATTATCTGGATTGACAGTCCAGCAATAATACTGCTAGGCCTTCGCTTCCCTGCTTGTCCACTATAAACCTTTCAATAGAATATCCCAATCCACCGTAGTTACTTCTGCCTCATTGCTTCATAATCTCCTTTCTGCACATTTCGGAGCCTTGACAGGGTGGATGTTGAGAGAATGTTTCCCCTTGTAGAGAGACTGAAACTAGTGGGCACAGTTTAATAATAAGGCAGATGAGAATTTTTACTGAGATTGTTGGTCTGTGGAATCTCTTCCTCAGAATGTAGTGGGTACTGAATGATTGAATGTATTCAAGTCTGTGTTAGATTTTTGATAGAAAATGGTGACAAGGGATATGGGGGGTGGGCAGAAAATGGGGTTGCATTGTCCGTGATCTTATTGAATAATAAAGCGGATTTAAGAGGCTGGAAGGCCTACTTTCAACTGACAGACAGGAGGGATTACATTACTTAGTTTGAGGGTAAATACTCTTCCTGTATAAACCAAGTCTCTGCAGTGGGACATGAACCCACAACCCTGACACTCAGAAGCAAGAGGTTGCCCTCAGAGTGACAGCTGACATCTACTGTCATAACCTGTGTGTATATTGGTTGATCTCTGCTTAAATCCAATATCCTGTCAACACCAGATTGCTTTGACCTGTCTGTAAAGAATTGCTACTAGGCTAAAGTGTTGAAGTTCGTCAAGAGAGAGACAGCAGGTCCCATGCAAATGTAGCACTTGGGAAGTAGAGGTTTCAGGGGTCCCAGAGTTCCTGGAGATGATTTTGATTAGCTTACATTCAGAACCAAACTGACTATCTTGTACCTTTTCTTTACTCTCAGACGGGAGAATTAGTGCGGATCTACAAAGGCCATAACCACGCCGTCACAGTTGTAAACATCCTGGGAAAGGTGATGGTGACAGCCTGCTTAGACAAACTAGTGCGAGTTTACGAACTACAGGTAAGCTAGCTGGTGTATACAGCTCTGTCACTGTGTAACACTGGAGTGTAGTACTAGTGTATATAACTCTGTCACTGTGTAACATGAGTACAGCACTGGTATATATACAGGTCTATCGCTGTGTAACACTGGAGTACAGTACTGGTGTATATAGCTCTGTCACTATTTATCAATGGAGTACAGTACTGGCTTATACAGGGGTGTCACTGTAACACAAGGTTGCAGTGTTGGTGGGTACTGTTCTGTTTTTATTCTTTCACAAGTGTGGATCATTGCTGGACATCATTTATTGCCATTGCTAATTGTCATTGAGAAGGTGGCACTAAGTCACCTTTATTAAATCACTCCAGTCAACCTGCTGCAGTGACACCCCCATAGTACTATTAGGGTGTTTGAGAATTTTGACCCAGAGACAGTGACGATATATTTCCAAGTCAGGATGGTGAGTAGTTTTGACGGGAACCTGTAGGTGGTGAAGTTCCCATGTATCTGCTGCCCTGCCCTTCTAGGTGGAAATGATTGTGGTTTTGGAAGGTGCTGTCTAAGGACCTTTGAACTGCTGCAACGCATCTTGTAGAAACAGCGTTGGAGGGCATCAATACCTAACTGCACTCATCCAGGCAAGGGGAGAGTTTTCCATCGCACTCCTGACTTGTCTGACTTGGGTTTTAGGGAGTCAGGAGGTGAGTTACTTGCCGCAGTATTCCTAACCTCTGACCTGTTATAGTGGCCACTGTACTTGTATGACTAGTTTAGGTTCTGGTCAATGGTAAACCCAGGAATTTGATAATGGGAGATTCAGTGATGGCAATGCCATTGAATGTCAAAGAGTGATGGTTAGATGATACCTTGTTGGAGATGGTCATTGCATGGTATTTGTGTGGCATGAATGTTTCTTGCCACTTGTCAGCCTAAACCAGGATATTGTTTCAGGTATTATTGCATTTGAACATGAACTGCTTCAGTATCTGAGGAGTTGTGAATGGTGCTTAATATTGTGCAGTCATCGGCAAACATCCCCACTTCTGACCTTTATGATGGAGTGGAGGTCACGATGAAGCAGCTGAAACTGGAACTCCTGCAGTGATGTCCTGCAGCTGAGATGTCTGAGCTCCAACAATCACAACTATCTTCCTATGTGCCAGCTGTGACACCAACCAGTGGAGAGTTTGCCCCCCCCCGATTCCCATTAATTCCAGTTTTGCTCATGCGCCTTGATGCCAAGGCAGTCACTCTCACCTCACCTCTGGAATTCAGCTGTTTTGTCCATGTTTAGGTCAAGACTAAAGCCAGGACCTGCTGCTGGAAAAGTCCAAATTGAGCATCAGGTTATCACTTTAGTCTCGTCCTGCCAATGTCTAACACTGGAGAACATTATAAGTGGACTTGGGTCTGTCACTATATAATAGAGGTGCAATGTTGGTTGTTTCAGTCTGTCATTTTTTAACTGGGTTGGGATATCTGAATTTAGGTCTGCTACTGTACAGTTACAGTACTAGTGGATGCAGGTGCTAACATTGTATAATACTAACGTACAGGTCTGTCACTATGTAAGACTGGGTGAGAGTATTGTTAGGTACAGGTCTGCCACTGTACGACACTAGTGTACAGTCCTGGTGGGTGCAAATGTCTGTCACCTTTGATCTGGAACCTGCATGATAAGAAAATCTCGTGTCTTTAAAATGTCTGTGGAATTTGTACTTGGGTTTAAGAACATTTGAAAAGGTCCCACCTCGGGTCTCAGTAAGATCACCCCTCGTTCTTCCAAACTCTAACAAGTGTAGGGTCAACCATTCCTTACAAGGCAATCTCTTCAGTCCAGACATTAGCCTCATGAATCTTCTCTGAACTGTTTCCTGTGCAAATCTGTTCTTGCTTAAGTCAGGTCACCAAACTGTACACATCCTTGTGGCCTTAGTAATTGTAGTAAAATTTACAATGGCACCATAACTTGGAGCAGGAATAGACTATTTGCCCTGCTAAGCCCACTCTGCTATTGAGTAAAATGATATCTGCTCTTGGATTTCAACTCCTCTTTTCTGCCTGCTCCCTACATCAGGTCATTCATTCAACTGAAGCACCAAAATCTGTCTATGTCTACCTTGGATATACTCAACACCCCAAGCCCTCTGAGCTAGACAGTTCTGAGGACTGTCAACCAATTGGGGAAAATAATTTCTCCTTGTCTCAGTCTGAAACAATCTGACCCTTATCCTGAAACCCTATCCTGTGTTATAGGTTCCCCAGTGAGCCAAAACAAACTCTGTGCACCACTTCAAGACTTCATGTTTGTTAATGAGTTCTCCCCTCATTCTAAACTCCAGAGGATATAGACCTTTACTTCTTCCATCATCTCAGAGACACCTCTCTCAGCCCAGAAACCTTTGCCATACCATCCCTAATGCACATATTACACATTGAAACCAAAACTGCACAACATGTTTCTGGTGCCAAAATCATGTACAATTGTAGTGAGACTTCTTTAGTTCTGCACTTCAATCGCCTTGCAATAAAGGTCAGCATTCCATTTGCCTTCCAAATTGCTTCGTGACTTTGTGATTCACACTAAAGATACGCAGATCCCTCTGAACCATATCATTCTGTAGTGTCTCTTCATTAAAATAATATTCTGCTTCTAATTCTTCCTGCCAAAGTAGGCAAGTTGACATTATACACCATCTATCATATATTTTCCCATTCACTTAACCTTATGTATCCTCCTCACAACTTGCTTTCTAACCTGACTTTCTATCATAAGCAAATTTGGCTGCAATACATTCAGTCCAAGTTATTTCTGTAGATGCAAGTAGTTGAGCCCTCAACACTGATCACGGCAGCACTCCACCAGTTATTTCTCCAATCTGACCCATTTATCCGGATTTTGTTTTCTGTTGGTTAGCTGTTTTATCACCATCAATGACATGAACTGTTACCCTTTCACATAGCACCAGCCATGCTGCAGCAGGACAGTGTTCTCACACTCCTAGTGTTTCTCAAGCTCCGTACAGAGAAGTCTGTTTACTGTTTGGAAATAATAAGAAAACCAGAATTTCAGAAGGTCTCAGAGAAGTGATGTGTGACCCAGCTAAAAGGTTCTGAATCCTGAAATTGGTGTGAACAGCTCAGGCATACAAAAGAGCCAAGGGTTTGTATCAGATATCAGCTTGTGAGATTAGAAACTGTTGCCTGCTTAGTTCAAGAGGAACTGGGGAATGGTACACCGTCAGGACTGCTGTGACCCGAAGAGAGGGTTCATAGCACTCTGACTTGCTGGTGGTAATGTACCTGTGAAGCTGGCTACAGGTTTGTTGCTGTGTAAAATTACAGTACAATACTGATGGTTTCAGGCCAGTCACCTGTACCAACCACACACTGTTTAGGTTCTGCCCACAATTACCTTGTATTTTAATGCTGGTGACATGGTCTTACATTTGAATGTTATCTGCTGCACAATCTCACACAAACAAGTGTGACGGGAAAGAGACCATCTGGTGAAATGTATCTGTCATATTGTATTTATTTCTAAAATACTTCTGAGGACATTAAAATTCATGTCTTTGTTTCCATTCCTATGTCTTTAATTTCTTCCAGCCCTGCAAAACTTTGAGACACCTAAATACCTCTACTTCTATCCCCCTCAGTCAGATTTTAATCATCCCATCATTATTTGAACTGTCAAGAGTCCAAGCTTTCTAACCAAATCCATTCACTCCTCCTCCACCCCCCACCCACCACCACCACTCTCCTCTTGGATCCTCATGTAGCTCTGTGTCTCATTCTGTTTGATTGTGTTCCTGTGAAGAGCTTTGAGATTGTTTACCTGTGTTAACAGGGCTATGTTTACCCAATTTAAAGTTAAGCACGAGAGCATGTGAAAGAATTGTCTAACAGAGTGTCATTTTTTTTCTCTTTTGGTGTCTAGTCACATGATCGTTTGCAGGTATACGGTGGCCACAAGGACATGTTGATGTGTATGGTCATACACAAGAGCATGGTGAGTGTCAGCAGCAATCTGATTAAATATGAATGCTCAACTTGCAATGATCCACTGGAATCAAGGAGATGTCCCTGTCCCCACCTGGCTCTGTGATACAGCAATGAATGGCAAGGTCACTGCTGTAGTATCTGTTTGACAAATCCAAATTGTAAATCCAGTGAAGCAGAGGACTGGACTAATGATCTAGAGAGAAACAAGTGTTCAGATCCCACCAGGACAGCTAGGTGGGAGGTTAAATACAATGAATGGAAAGCTCAGTGATGACAATTAAACTCCCAAATTGTCATAAAACCAATCTGGTTCCTTCCTGTCCTTGAAGTAAATCTGCCCTCCTTAGCCAGTCTGATCTTTATGTAATCCCAAATGTAGAGCAATGTGGTTGATTCACAACTGCCCTCCAACATGGCCTAGCAAGCTGCTTGGTTCAAGATCAGTTATGAAACTCATGGTGTTGGTTCGATCAGCAATTTGGTTTTTTTTTGCTCATAGATCTATACAGGTTGTTACGATGGTAGCATACAGGCTGTGCGATTGAACTTGATGCAAAACTATCGCTGTTGGGTAAGTATGAAAAGAACTTTGTATATTTTTATACAGCAGTTGGTTGTTGCTGTACCCAGCTCTTGCTGAATCTGCCTGTTTCCCTGACTGTTGTACTCAGCTCATACTGTATCTCAGCCTGTCTGCCCCTCTCACTGTATCTGCTCTTTCCCTGACCCTTCTGTGCCAACTTCACTGTATTTCCCTTTCGTGAAGCCATGCTGACTCTGCTTGATTAGATTATGATTTCCCAAATGAGCTGCTATTATTTCCTTAATGATTTATTATTGGAGAAGCATTGGAATCAATGTTAGGCTATTCCGCCCATAGTTACCTGCTTTTTGCCTCCATCCCTCCAGTACTTCTCCAAAATCCAAGGAATTTTGAAAAATTACACCCAATGCATCCATTATCTGCGTAACTCCCTCTTTTACATTCACTGCTCACAATGTGGTCTCCTTTACATTGGCAACACTAAATGCAGACTGGGTGACCGTTTTACTGAATACCTCCACTCTGTCAGAATGGCCCCGACTTTCCAGTTTCAATAAACCACCTTGTTCCTGTGATAACATTTTGTCCTTGGCCTGCAGCAGTGTTCCAATGAAGCTCGATGCAAGCTGGAGCAACAATGCCTCATTTTCCACTTAGGCACTTTACAGCCTCTAGGATTCAATATTGAGCCCACAGTCAGGGTATGATTACTGTCCTCTGTTTCTCTTACACCCCTCACTCTCTGCTGGCCCTGTCTTGTTTGTGTCTTGTTGGCTTTTTCTCCTTTTTGCGGCTAACATTTACACCTATTTTTCATCTCTGTCACTCCTTTACTACCTTTATCACCGCCTTTGTCTTTTGCTCTGGGCACCCTCATAATTTATTCCTCTTGCTCCTCTGTCAACAACGTAAAGCAGCATTTTCCAGCTCCTTTCAGTTCCAAAGAGGAGTCATACGGCACACGAAACTTTAACTTTGTTTCTGTCTCTACTGATACTACCAGACTTAAGTTTCGCCAGCATTCTGTTTTTATTTTGGATCCGGAAATTGTCTCATTGACAGGAGACAAGAATATTGATTAATGGGTGCTTTTCAGATTGAAGGAAGATTCATAATAGCGTTCCCCAGGGGCTCTATGTTAGGACCTCTACTGTTGCTGATTTCAAAATTTGTAGATGATACAAAACCTGGAAGTATTGTGAGTTGAGGGGAGGATGATGTTGAACATCTATAGGACAGACAACTTGGTGGAGTGAGCAGACAAGTGGCAAATGAAGTTAATTGTAAAGGAGCTGAAGTGATTTATTTTGGTAGCAAGAATGTATAGAGCATTTTTATTTTGAAAGGTGGAGCAGAGGGACCTGGGTGTATATGTGCATTAATCATTGAAGGTGGTTGGACAGTTTGAGAGTGTGGTTACCAGAACGTACAGTATGCTGAATGTTATTAATAGAGCATAGAGAACAAGAGCAAGAAGGTAATTTTAAACTTGTATACAATGCTGGTTTGGTCCGGAGAATGAAGTTTTGCATCCAGTTCTAGGCTGTACACTTCAGCCACTGAGTGTGTGTGTGCAGGAAGGATTTACGAGAATGGTTCCGGGGTGAAACGCTTCAGTTACTTGGATAGATTGAAGAAATTGGGGCTATTCATTTTGGAGAAGGGTCAGGAGATTTGATAGAGATATTCAAAATCATGAGGGGTCTGGAGTACATAGAATAATACATTCCCCATTAAAGGAATCATGAACTAGAGGACTCAGATTTAAGGTAATTGGCAAAAGAAGCAGTGGCAACATAAGCATTTTCTCTCACAGTGAGTGGTTCGGCTCTGGGACACACTACTGGGGAGTTAGGGAGATGAAGGGTTAATTGAAGGGTTCAAAACAGAAGTAGCACTTTATCTGAAAGGGAAGAGTTACAGGGAGTAATCAGAGACTGATGCTGGGTGATTTGTTACACAGAGTGCCAATACAGGCTGGACTGAAGACCCTCCTGTGCTGTGTAACCATTCTACAAATCTACCTGACGTATTCAAATATACCATCACCATCCCCATCCCCACCCCTTCCCTCTGCCCTCCCCATTGCCCCTCCTCCTTCCCTCCCGTCTTACCCCTCCCTTTCACTCATTGCCCCTCCACCTGTTTAATTGTTTGCCTGTTCCCTTGCAGTGGTCTGGCTGTACTTTGATTTTTGGTGTTCTCAGTCACCTGAAGCATCACCTGTTGTCTGATCACCACAATCCCTCCTTCCAGACCCTGAAGTGTCGCTGGCGCAACTGTGACGCTTTCTTCTCCGTGAAAAATGGGTCCAAACAGGTGAGGAAAGACCAGGGACTAGGAAAGAACAAGGTCACATTAAAAATTACTAGTCAGGGCCAATCAAGTCAGCACTCTGTACCTGAGGCAAAGTTATAGGTGGGAATCTAATCAACGCCAGCCCAGTTTATTTGACAGTCACTTAGGAGTGAGTTACAGGCTGTCATCTAATCAGGGGTTTATAATGAGTTTTTATGTACTGTAGTGTGGATGTTCTATAGATAATAGAATCGAAATAATATATATAATAATGGGAGTGAACTAAAGGCAGGAATCTAATTGCAGGTTTGTGTGGTTGGGTGAGTTACAGTCTGCAATATACTGTGTGTACGATATCAGATACTCTGATCAGGCTTGAATCTAATCAAGGGTTTTGAAGAGAGTGTCTTGGATAGATAAATAAATAAGATTCTTGTGAGTGAGTTACAGACTGGAATCTAACTGAGGGGTTTGTGAGGTTCAAATGTATGGGTCACCTGTCCTAGCTGGAGTTTGCAGTCTCACCTGTCAGGACAGTGTGGGTGTGGAACAAGGCCTTCACTCCTTGTCTGTCTCTCTGCCTATGGTATTCTGAAACCTTGTTAATTGATTTTTGCAGGATGTTCCCAAGCACCTTTGTGAGCATGCTGAGGAGAACAGCCAGTTGGACCCATGAGAAGATATTTGACCTCCCAAATTGGGAAGCAGTTTAGAAATCTTTGTGAAAAAGAATCGTCTTTACACAGTACATTTCCATCATTCCGAAGTGATAGTCTCTAAAACTTGCTGCAGATCTTGGAGGAGTCTCGATGGCTTCACATCTGGACTAAACCGACCAGCTGCAGGTGTCACAGATCTGTATGCCCTGCAACACAAGCTGTGTTGCCTGAAGGGCGAAAGTTGACAGAATGGGACTTTAAAGGCATGAAACGAGCAAAGTAGTGGGAGTACCGATCAACAGTGACTGCTGCGCAAGCTTGTGCACACTGTGTGTGTGTGTGTGTGTGTGCGCGCGCGCGCATATGTCTTGGACTGCATGCAGGTGCGTCTCAGTCTGTGTGCATGATTTGGTTTGTGTGTATGATTTGGTTTGTGTGTGTATTTGAGAGTCTGGGTCTGTGAGAGTGCATGTGTCAAGAGTGTAATACAGTGGATTTTGTAACTCAAGTATACATTTGTGTGGCAGTTTCCCACAGTTCAAGAGCTGCTGTGTGGAATCCTTGCTGATTCCTACAGCCAGTAACTAGTCTGTCATTTTGAATACCATTTATTTCTTATTGTTTATTAATTTTATGCCTATTACCTTGATAGAGAATTACATTCAGATGAAAATGTGGTTTCTGAGTCAGGACTAAGTTTTTTTTAAGAAAATATCTGGAGTGGAATTTGTGAGTGTGTTTTGTACGTGTTAGGGATTGTGAATGGATGTAGATGTTGATGCTCAGACCATATTCTGAGGAAAGTCTCGATTCAAGTCCAGTCCTGATGGTGAAAACCATGGCTGGAGTAGAGACACGTTCTGGTGGGTTTTTTGGTTAATACTGTGTGATGCCTGCTACATATCACTGCGGTTTTATTTATTCTTTGGTTCGATGAGATTATAGTTTGACTGAGTGTGGGGTCACAGTCAGGCCTTGAGCAACATTGCAGCCTGACCATGACCGTTTCATTGGATTTTTTTTTTTAAGTAAGGCTTTATTTTCTTCAAGATTTTAAGCTTAAAATGTACCAAGCTCAATAATTGGATGAGGTATCAAGAAAAGATTCTTTGAAGGATAGGTTAGCTCAATGAAACTGTGTACTATGAGGCTGTGAATTGTGCATCCTTTTCACACTCTGTTGGTAACATATGGCACCAATGCTGAGTACTTTGTCCCGTGTGTTGTGAGAGCAGAGAGGCTGCGTTTTGTACCTGCTTTCTGCGGCTACGCGTAATGTGGCCATGACTTTTAGTGTGTATTGTATACGGCCCCTTGAGGCTGTATCACAAGTGGCCATGAGGCTACATATTATGTACACCATGTATTGTGCAGCTGCATATTGTATATGATTGTGAGACTGCGTCATGGATGAAGCTGTGAACTGTCAAGAGTGTGATCGGAATGAATGTTTACAATAAATGATTTTACACTGATTGGAAACTATTTCAAGAATCTGAATAAATGTGACTCAGGATGTATTTCTGAACCTGATGTGTTGTGTAATGAATTATGTTCATCTAAATTCTATTTCTGACTTATCCCTTGTACAAAATGGACTAAACTAGCTTATCAGATGCACTTAACCTGGCCCATTCTACTGCCCCAGACTGTATTTCATAGGAAAACAGGTATGTGGGGTTATTCTGCATTGATACATGAGCTACTGCAGATACTCCTGTACGGTACACGTTATTCACAAACACTACGCAGATCACAGAACTGTTACCTACACTGGCTCTCAAATGAGCAATTTATTTTGTCATACTGTTGGAACCTTGCACATTCTTCATTTTCAGATAATAGTCTAATTTCCTTTCGAATGTTGCAATTGAACGTGCCTGCTCCATCCTCTCAGGCAGTGCATTCCATTTGCTACAGTGAAGAACATTGCTCTACTCAGCCTATCTTCTATGATTAAAATTGATCTAGACCCCTACCTCACTTCTAAATTCCATTAATTATATTTTGCCTTTCCCTGCTACTTTATTAGCAGTTTTTTAAAAAATCTGGTTTAAGTTATCTAGTTTGGCGATTTACTCTCAGGTTAGAAACACTGACCACCCCCTTGTAAAGTCACATCGAGATTAATGTATGACAACCAAGTAGCACAAAGTCTTCTACCATCTCCCCCATGCATTTGTGACCAAGGCTGGAGGGAGGGCTTCTGATTTACTGACCAATTTTTGCTAGGATACCAGGCCCAACATTCCAATAAAAGGAAAAAACACAAATCCTGAAACCTAAAATAATTTTTGCCCATATATCTTAGGCACACATTGCCCCCACATAAATTATGTCTGTGTCTCAATGAAACAGACTGAACTCCAAACCTTTTGCTAGTTGAAGGGTTTTGAACCTAGGAGTTTGCTCTTCTCTGAACTTTTCTGGATGAAGTAGGGCTATTAAGATTTCCCCCTTCCTCAAAAGAAGCATGGCACAGTAGTGCAAAAGTCAAAACTGAGGCAATGGGGTTATTTTATTTTATCAAAAGCTCCTTGAGATTGGATTTAAGGACTTGCTTTCAATCTTGCCAATTCCTTTATTAGGTGATCCACTCAGACTTGCCCATTGCAATGTTAAAATTAATTTCATCACTATGCCAAATAATTATCAGCCATTAAACTGAAAGCCAGAATATGATAATTTCTTGACATTACAGTTTTTAAGTTGGAATAAGACATGTTTTAAGTAACTTGACACATTTTATACAGAAAAACCATTACCCGAAACCTGTCGTCACAGCTAAACTGTTGTTTCTGCACCAAGTAATTAACAGTATGAGACACTTTGCAGATTCAGGATTATCTAATCTTTATGCAAGGAATTATGCTGACAGCCGATTTTAGCATAGTTAGATTTGTACTGGAAGCTATATTAATACACTGGGCACTGTGCTTTACAAACAGAAAGAATGTGTATATGTACTGCACCTGTTTGAATTCAACAAAATGGACTTGTCAGAGTGACAAAGCCAAGCTGCTGTCAATCAGCATTAATGGGTGTATTCTCCATGGCAACACCACTATGCCTACCAACAAATCACTGTCCTCTCGTACAATATAAATGTGGGGGTTTTTTCCCTCAAATTAGTATTCTTGTAAATTGTCCTGAAGAGTGTAAAAAGCAAAGCTTGGACGAATGTTTTTTTTTAAATAATACTCAAGTTCTGTATCACTGAATGACTAATTAAAAACAACAGGGAGTAATTCCTCCCACGTACAACAGATGGAAATTGTTCCATTAGAACAGTGATGAAGAGGAGATTGTTTATAGAGAGAGTTCCACTGAACAGAAGACATCTATTGGTTGATAGAAGAAATATCCAGTGTTAAAATGTAAAAGACTATTCAATCCAACAAGCAAGTGCTAGTTCATGGAGCTGTCCATTTTAGTACCACTCACCAACTTTTGCCTCTGCAATCTGATTCCATCAGCCTTCACAACACCATGTAGAATGTCCTAACGGGCTTGCTAATTATTTTACGTAATTAATCCTGGTTATTGATCCACTTGACAGAGAGCATGCTCAATTAAACTTTGCAAAGATTTGATGGCTCTGTGTATAAAAATAAAGTATTCCCATACACTATAGGAAGAACTCAGTGCTGTGTTCAGAAACACACTCACTCTGCATTCTGATTATTTCCATCTGTTACTTCTGGCTTATTTATTAAACTTAACTTCCCGTCTCCAAGTGCAAATGTCTCTTCTGTGCTTTATTTCCTTTTCTAATTGGCTGTTGTCCATTATATGGCTGACAGGCTGCTATAACTTGCCCTCCCTCAGTGCTCTGGAATAATGCAGTTCATCCTCGCTGAGCGTTTGCCACTCCCCATTCAGCTGGCACTTGACCAACTGATTTTCCTTTATTGGCTGTAAGGCTGCTGGAGTAGAGCTGTCCAGAATTGACTGCAACAAAAAGACAAGCAAAGTTCACATCAACAGGGACTGGGGAGTAAAGAAAACAACATCCCACAGAGAGCTGACATAAGGTGTAGAGCTGGATGAACACAGCAGGCCAAGCAGCATCAGTGGAGCAGGAAGGCTGACGTTTCGGG